GCTCCACCGCGCTGTCACCGTTCCCTCTCCGGCAGAGCATGTTTGCCGTGGGCTGGCTGGAGCTGAAGGAGCTGCAGAGAGCCTGGAGCCAGCTGGAAAAGTGCTTCAGCAACATCACGGAGCCTTTCAAGGTGAGTGGCAGGGCTGCAGATCCCTCCTGCTCCCAGGCAGGTGACAATGGGATTGGAACCACAGAACTGCCTGGCACATCTGTCTTGGTTTGGAAAGACTGGTGTCTGCTAAGGAAGGTAGGAGCATCTCCTGAAATGGAAAAAATACAGAGCCCCTCCTTTCGAATTGTTAAAAATTTGAAATTAATGGGGGCTCTCAGGCAAAAATATAGGAATAGGAATAACAGTTCTTTATTAGGGAAGAAAATAGAAAGATAAAGTAAACAATGCAGTGAACCAAAACAACACTGACAGAGTCAGAACACAACCTGACAGGGTGTTGGCAGCAGTCCAATTGGAATTGTGGCTGCAGTCCTCCTGGAGTGTCAGGTGTGGTTCTGTTGGAGCAGTGATCCTGTAGAAAAGGGTGTAGTTTTCCTCTGAAGAGGCAGTGGAAGAGGCAGCTGTTCCTCTGGGAAATCCAGTGCAGAAAAAGCCGTGCTGGTGTTCCAGACACTCAAGATTATATCCAGGTAGGAACGCTTGGCTCCTCCATCTGGGCAGAGCATCTGACAATGGGATGTTACAGCTCTTACCAGTCATGCAGTGACATTCAGTGGCCCATTAAGAGCAGATGTCTCCCCTGAAAGAGGATTGGCTGTGGAAGAGATATGGAAAAACTGCCCACTTAACAGAAGATAACTGCCATACAGATGGGAATTGAATACATCTTGCTTCCAAATGTGGGACAGCATCCCAAATCAATTCCTGCACCATCTCTTTCTCCTGCTGGAGCAGGTCTGGGCGGAGAACTCGGATGGGTCGGGAGCTGTGAACTTCCTGACAGGGATGGGTGGATTCCTGCAGGTCATCCTCTTCGGCTTCACAGGGTTCAGGTGAGACCTGTTGTGTCACTTTTATCTCCCAAGCAACCACCTGTCCCTTAAAATGTCCCTGTTTGGCTGGACTGAAGTTGGGAATAGGTAAGAGGCTCATGACAGGTGACATTTGGGAAGCAAAATGCTGTTCCCTAAGCTTGTTCTCTGCTTCAGCAGCAACATCCTCCTGTCTCCTTTGGATGTGGTGAGGAATCACCTCCTGCAGCCTGACTGTGGCCTCCCTGCTCACATGGGGCTCCGGGAGCCTCCCTGGAGTGAAGCGCTGAGCAGGCATCGCCTCAGCTTTAAAATATCCTGGGAGAACATGGAGCTGTTTGTGTAATTGCAGAGCTGTGGTGGTTTCCACCCTGGAGCCGCCGTCTCTTCAGCCTATTCCTGGTTTAATTGAGTCTGGATCAAGCCTTTTGATTGCCAGTGAAAACTTCCAGCCCTAACTATGTGTTTTCACTCCACGTGTGTGGCCAAAGCTGCTGGGAAACCCACCCCATTCCCTGGTGGATCTGGGTGCTGTACTCCCAGCTGGAAAAGCCACCCGTTCCCTGGTGGAGCTGGGTGTGAGCTGCCGCATTCCCAGCTGGAAATCTGGGCTTTGGCCAAGCTGGGAGGTCTCCAGGCACCCAGTGTGTGCCAGGTTGGACCCCTCGTGGCACAGGCTCAAGCCACAGCTTTGAGGCTCTGGCCAAATTCCAGAGGTGGCGACAACGTTGTGCAGCCACGCTCCTGCCTTTCCCGCCGTAGGACACGGATCCTGCGCAGTGCTGGGGCTCCCCAGGCCCCCAGACCTGCCTTGAGCCCCCTGCAGCCCGCTCAGCCCTCTGGGGCTGGTGGTGGAGAGCTCTCTTGCGCCAGGATTTGGGCCGGGGACAAGAGGGGCCGTTGTTTTTCCTCGCCCAAAGCCAACGCCCACGCAGGCAGCCTGGCTTTGGCTCAGGGATGGAGGGAGAGTTGGGATGTTTGTTCCATTGTTTCTGGGGAAGGAGCACTGCTGGGGATGCAGAGCAGACAGGGTCAACTGATGAGGCAATTAAAAGATGGTTTATCTATTGCAAAATCAGTCTCATGGAAGGCTGAGACCTACATTCAACGCCATCACATCAGAAGCCATTTGAATTTTATAGTTATATAAAGTTCAAATGTATATATAAAGTTATAATGTCTTTTATATATTTCTTATCATATCTTATATATTTCTTGATCAGCTACTTCTACAAAGCTCACTAGCATCTTCATAAACCAACCATTCATTTGCTGTCATTGCTACAAATGATAGCAAACTGTAGCAAAGTGCTGCAAAACATTGCTACACTTTACACAATTCTGGCACAATGTGCTTCTTTTTATCCGGCCATAAAACTCTGCAGACACTTACTGCTGTATCTTCTACTTTTTGCCAATTTTATAACAAGTTCTATTGCTAGACTTTAAAATTTTCTACTATCTTGCTTAATGTGTTTATTCGCTTCCATGAGGCCTATTTCTACCCGCTTAAAGCATAATTTCTGCTTGAGCTACAAATCTTTATTCTTACTTTGTCTCTTTCACTTTTCTGTTCTAAACCTTCAATGCCTGCATTTCCCACAGAGCATCCGTGCTGAGCTTCCAGCCCTCCATCCCACGGGAGTGGGAGCTGAGGTGGATGTCTGAGGGTCACCTGCTCTGAGAGGAGCAGGGCATTCCCCAGGTTCTGCCAGCTCAGCTGCTGGAACTGAGCTGTGTTTCTGTAAATGTGAAATCTGACCTCGTGGAAAGCCCAGGCCCCAGCTGTGGAGCTGGAATGGGACAGGAATGTCTTGGGGTGGGCTGTGGAATCACGGCCCCAGTAGCTCCTCACCAGGTGCTCCATCAGTGTGTTTGGGGTTTGCCCAGAGGTCCTTGGGTGCACTGAGGACCCTCTCAGGCTCCTCTGCTGTGACGTGGTGATGCCTGGGGAGGTGACTGCTCCCCAACCCTGAGCTGGGCTCCTCTGTGGCTCCTGCTGTTCCCACCCTGATGTGCTCCTGCCTTTCCAGGATCACGAGGTCCGGCCTCCTCTTCGATCCTGCCTTTCCTGATGATATCACCAAGCTGGAAGTCTCCAGCGTCTCCTACTTGGGCAACAAACTGGAGGTCACCATCACCAGGGAGGAGATCAGGATGGAAGTGACTGAGACCTCCCAGGACCCTCCGGCATCTCCCCTGGAAGCTGTGCTGGAGTCGGGACAGTGCTTTCCCTTGTGGGAAGGTGTGGCAGCAGTGCCTGCATCTGCTCCCTGAAATCATTTGGGAAGAAACCATTCCCGTATCTCACACAAAGCTTTTCTGTTGCAGGGCAGAGTGTCTCCTTCCCCACAGCACCTGGATGGATCCAGAGGTCACCCAGCAGGACCCCCTAAACCCTGGCTGATCTGGGTGTTGCCCACTGGAGCAGCAGATCCGGGATGTTGGTGGAGGGGAAAGGTAACAGTGGGTGGAAAGGCGGTGCCAGGCTGTGCCAGGAGGCCTTTGTCCCCCCAGGACTGTGTGTGTCACCTGTCCTTGTGGCCCCAGGGGGTCAGTGGCTGAAGCTGTCACCATGGCTGGAGCTGTCACCTTGTCTGAGCCCCCCGCTCCCCTCCACACATCTCTTCCTTGGTGCAGGACAGGAAACCAAGCCTGAAAATGACCATTTTAAACATGTTTGCTGAACACCCAGCAGTTGTTCATGCTCTCAACATGTTTGTGTTTGTAAGGAAGCCCATTCCTGACTCCAGGATCCTGACTCCAGCTCCTCCAGCATGTCCTGCCCTGGTCCTTGCCTTCCCCATGTGCTGCTCCGTGGGCTGTTTCACCAGATGAATGATGTTTTGACACTAAATATTACTCCAAAATATGCAACTGAAAGCCTTTTAACCTTGTGTGGGCAGCACAGAGCTCCATTCCTGTTATTTGGTGTGTAACATCCCTCATGTGTTTTTAAACCCTTATCGACACTATTCCCTCTCTTTTCAAGCAGTTCTAGAGTTAAATCCTTTCTCACTTGCCCTCTGAAGGGCTGCAGGAAGCCTGGACACCAGAGATCTGTAGAATTGTCTTGTCAGATGGTGACAAGGGCAGCACTTTTCCAGGCCTGAGCAGCCTCGGGGCGAGCAAAGAGCTGCTGTGGGTTTGCTCAGGGCGTTTTTGGTGCCCCAGAAATCCCAAGGAATTCCTGCACAGGGCGGGCACGGTATCCACATCCCCTGGCTCTGGGGCTGCAGAGCATCCTCCCCTCCACAGCTCCCTGTCCCCGTGCAGAGCAGCCCTGGGTGGGAGCAGGGAATGCCGAGGGCGTTCCCTGCCCCGAGGGGTCTGTCCTGGCCAAGCCAACCCCAGGAATCTCGGCCCGGTTTATAAAAAGCCCCGCGGCTGCTCCAAGCCCCGAAGCATCTGGGAGTGCTTAGGGCTGGAGCAGGGACGCTCCCGCTGCCGTGTAATTACTCGGGTCCTGCTCCGGCATCATCACGGCCGCCAGCCCCTAATTAGTGGCAGCTCTTGGCACGACAAAGGGACCATGCTGTCCCCAGCCCTGTGCGCTGCACCAGGATTGGGATTTGGATGGGGTTGGGATACAGCCCCACTCTGATCCAGGGCTAGTTGGCAGAAAAGGGGGTTTATCCTCAAAAAAGGGGTCCTTTAGCCCCAGAATGAGCTGTCTCCAGCCCAGGCACAGGGAGCAGGGAGCAGCTTCCCAGCTTTCCCCATGTCCTGGCTGGGACTGGCTGGGGATGTCTGTGTTGCTGTAATGAGTTTGCAGGTCTCAGCTCCATTTGGGATGGGGACGGGACAACCCCATTTGCTTCATCCCACGAGGCCCGGGAGTGTCTCTGCTTCCTCCCCTCCTCAGTCCTGGGGGTCCCAGTGGCCCTAAAGGCTGTGGGAACAATGGAGTCTCCTGGCTGCCAGGACCCCCACCAGAGCCAAAAATCCCAATTTATGTTTTCCCATTGGCACCCCCCTGCCCCTTTCCACATGCAGAAACTCTCACTGTGTGAAGCGTTTAATGATTTAAATAGTGACCATGGAAGCTGGGGCTTCACACGGGATAACGGGAGGTAAAAAAACCCACAGGATAAACAAAAATAACTGGGGTTGGGGAGTGGGTGGCAGAGAGGGGTGGTGACCTTTTGGGAGGGCCACCAGTGACGCAGAGGAGGTGCCACCAGCCCTTCACCCTGGGTCACTGGTCGTCGTCGTCGCTCCCGCTGAACTGGTAGGTGAAGAAGCCAACAGACTCCTGGGCCAGCTTGGAGAGGTGGATGACACCGGTGACAATGAGGGCACCGAGCAGGAGTGGCAGCACCACGCTGCCTGCCGTAGCCAGGGCGTTGTAGCACCGTGCCTTGGAGCTGTAGTGCCGAGCAGCTTCCACGTCCCCAGACACTTTCCGGTCCCGAGCCTGCAACAGCCGAGGACAGACCCTTCCCTCAGCCCCTTCCCAAAGCCTCCTTCTTGCAGCCCTTTCCCACAGCCTTTCCTGCACCCCGTCCCTGCAGCCCCATCCTGCTCTAGGGCTTTGTCCCTCTTGCAACCCAAAATTTATCCATCCATCCATCCATCCATCCATCCATCCATCCATCCATCCATCCATCCATCCATCCATCCATCCATCCATCCATCCATCCATCCCAGGCTGCTCCTGTTCCCCTCTGACCCTGCATCCTTTCCCCCTTGTGTTTTCCTTCCTTCTTCATCCAGATCCTCTCTGGCTCCAGCTCTGCCTGTACCCATTTTTCTATCCCAGTCTTGCCCAGCTGGGGCTGGGATTTTCCTTCCTGCTTCCTCCGGAGCTTTTTTGACTCCGGTCCCTGCTTGTCCCCGTCTTTCCACAGCTGGAGCTGCTCCTGCCGTGGGGGAGGGAGGCGGAGGAATCTCGGTCCCCATGGCACTTTTTAGGATCAAGCAGCTGCTCCTCGGGTGGTGGGCAGTGGGCTATGGTTATCCACGGCTGTCCCACAACCTCTGGAATCAGCGGCAGGTGTCACCCGCCCGTGGAGAGTGTTGGGATGTGCCCGCCCGGGATTATCCCAAGCGCTCGGTGCCTCCTCGGGCATCCCTCCCCCGGGCGTCTGCGTGGGGAGGGACTCCCGGAGCTCCCGTACCTTGACGGCGAAGGCGAGCGCCACGAAGCCCAGGCAGCAGAAGTTCATGTAGAGGGTGTTGAAGATGGCCCAAACCAGGTGGTCGCGGGGCGTGGGGGCGGCGGCGGGCGGCCACCGCTTGGAGGGCGACCGCTCCTCCCGCGGGTACGAGGTGTCCATGGCCACGGAGAGGGGCACCCGCGGCTCCGGCAGCCTCGCGGCAGCGCGGCCGGTCCCCCTTTTATATCCCTGCTCCGCTAAATATAAACCTGGGAAATTACAGCCCTGAGGGATGCGGTTGTCCCACGGGCTGGGCTGGGAGAAAGGCAGGGATGCAGAGCCCGCGGGTTTTTAATAGCCAGCATTCCACCCGGGATGAGGAGCATTCCTCCCGGGTGGCTCCGGCGTGACTCCGACGCCGCAGGAGGGTCACTCCAAGGCGGAGCCCAGGACCAGCACGGCGCTGGCTGGCACAGGTACCTCCGACCCCACCCTCCAGGTGTGCTGGGCAGGGCAGAGCCCCTCGAGGCAGCACTTTTGGGCCGCCGGATGGATGAAATGGGAATTTAATATAGAACGGTGGAAGAGCCGCATCCCCCGGCAGCGGCTGCCGGGTGGGGGGCGTGGGCAGCCAAAACACGCGGAGGGGCTTTAATTTCCTTTTCCTGCCATCTCCAGTGTGAAAAACACGTTTACTCTCTCGTGAAAACTTATAAAGTTTAATGAAGGATAATAGGAGATAAGGAACACAGAGTTAAGATTACAGCTGGGTGTGTCTGGGTGCTTAAAGAGCACGCTTATCTTCGGAGATACTTCTTAAACACTTTTTTCCTTTTATCATATTTATAGACTCTTATGTATGGTAAACGTTTTTCTTAAACTAGTTTACGTATTTTAAGAATTGTTTAGTATGACTCTTTTTTGGTTTTACTTTTTTAGAGCATGTGTATTTTTTCGTTGTGGTTTTGGGGTTTTTTATTATTACTTTTAGTTTTGGCTCTGTCCGAGGATGGTGAGCGTTGATAGTTGGTATATCTGTAAGCAGTTCGTTTTTTTATATGTTTATTGGGTGTTATCTCATCTAGGCAGGCATTTTAACACAAGAACACTCATATTAGCTATTTTACTACTGTGTCTAAGCTTAATTAAAAACAGAAATAAAAACTGTATCTTTATAACAAAGTTACTTTAACATTACATTTATAAAATTCAATTTAATATTTGCGAAAAGCTAATATAATATATATCTATAACATCCAAGATGTTGGGAAGCAACTTCCCTGGGCTTTGGGCTGGAACCTTCGCGGCAGGATAGAGGTAGTGGGAAGAGCATGAGGAGGAGGAGGAGGAGGAGAAAGCCACAAAGATGCCCGAGGACTCTCTGCGACGTCCCGCGGTCTATGAGGTGACAACGAGGGGATTTGTCGGGACGAACTTTATCGGTGGCAGCGGTGACCGACAGGTGTGTCACGGGTGCCGCGAAGTGCGTGAGCAGAGCAAAGGGCGGGGATGGGGCCGTCCCCCGCGCCCCGGCCTGGCCGCCCCGTCCGTGCGGGGACACCGGCGATGCTGGCAGCGAGGGGACCGGGGTCTCTCCCTTCGCTCCCACGCCCCGGACGGGCACATTTTGGAGGCAGGAGGAGCGAGGGGAGGACCCCACAGGTGGGGCCAGGCGGTGCTCAGGTGGCCCTGATTGTAGAGAAGAAGATGGCCACGATGATGATGAAGATCACCCAGGTGACGCCGACCACCACGGAGCAGATGATGTTGGCGACCTTGGCGCGGCCGCCGTGACGCCGGGCACCCTCCAGGTCCCCCACCGACTTACAGTCACGGGCCTGGGGAGCAAACGGGGGGCTCGGGGTGTGCGGGGCACCGACCGGGGGGCCAACCCACCCGGGGTGGCCGCGAGGATGTGCTGGGACCCCGGGGACGCGGGGTAAGACCACCGGGCGCTGCCCCGCGGTCCCGGCGCTCGGGGGGGGCGGCACGGCATTGGGGGGTGCCAGGGTGGGAGAGGGGATCTGGGAATCCGAGGGTGGGAGAGGCGTTTGGAGGGAGGTGGGCAGGGGGGAGAGGACCGGGACGGTGCCAAGGAGGGCTAGGGGTGGGGGGACGGGACTGGGGATCTCGGGGTGAGGGGAAGGTCCGGGTCGGGTTGGGTGGGAGGTCCGGATTTGGGGAGGGAGCCGGGGCACGTCGAGGGTCCCGTGCCGGGCTCAGTCAGAGGAGGGAGGTCCTGGGAGGGGCTGGCTGGGGGTCAGTCTGGGTGGGGGTCCCGGGGCCGATCAGGGCTAGATGCGGGGCCCCCCCGGGCCCCCCCTCACCTTGATGGAGAAGACGAGCGGGGGGAAACCGAAGCAGCTCAGCCCGCCCAGAGCGCACCACAGCAGCACATTGAACACCGACCAGAGCACGTAGTCCCGGGGCTGCGGGTCGGACCGGCGGCCGGGGGCGGCCGCCCCCCACCCGGAGGATTGCAGTGGGATGGACACGTCCGCCTGCCTGGGCTCCATGGCCGGGAATGAAGGTCTGGAACGGGAACGGAGCGTTGTCAGGGCGGGGGACCGGCCCCGCACCGCCCCGCAGAGGGAGGGAGGGCACGGCCCTCTGGGACCCCCAGCCCACGCAGTCTGGGGGTGCAGAGCAGCTCTGGGGACACGTGGGGGGCTTAAGGGGACTTGGGGGAACCCAGAGGACTCCGAGGGAATTTGAGGGGGGGTTGGGGATGTCGTAAATGATGCAAATTTTATTAAAAAAAATGTAACAATCAGGAGTTTGTTCGCCTGTTCCAAGAGGGAGGGGAATTCAATATTTTCTTCGAAGGATTCTGTTCGCTGGGAGAGGGCCGATGATGTGAACATCCACAGATTGAGAGAAGCCAGAAGACCATTAGCGAACATTAGTGAATATTAGCGACCATTAGCGACCATTAATCAAGATCACCTCCCTGTCCGGGAAATTAGTCAGTGAGAGAACCGAAAAATGAGGTTTGAAGGCGAAATAGGAGATCAAATACTAAGAATTGTAATTCTTAAGTGTAATTTAAGACCTGTAAACAAGAATTTCTTTTTATTTTTGTCTGCATAGATACGGGGAAACATCAGATAAGGAGCTATCTGTGGATGGGAACGTTTTCCATGGCACCTCCTGGTCAGGACAAAGTAACGCCCTGTCACCACAAACATCGTGCTGAAGGTTTTTTTTCTCCTCCCGAGTTTCGCCGACAGGTGGGCTCCGGGGAGCTGTCCATGGCAGCCTGGACTGGTCACAGGCAGGAAGGAGGGAGGCTTTGCCGGTGATTGTTTTGGGCTGGGAAAGGGTCAGTTTTTTCCGTATTGGCTTGTGTGGGGCTGCCCTTTGCATTTTTCCTGGAAACTTGATAAAACCGGGAGAAGGAGTAAGGGGATCTTGGAGCAATGGCCTTTGTTGGCCTGAGTTCCCATTGGATGTGCTGGGTTTGGGCAGGCCAAGCCTGGGGCCGGCCAGGCAGCAGATTCCATGGAGGAGGAGCCCGTGCAGCGAGAAGCCCGTGTTTTACAGGAAAAAAGCAGAGCAGAAAATGATTCACCAGAGGCTCATTGCCAGAAATCCTGCAACAAATAACCAGTGTGTTTGTGAGTGGGATTTCTGACATCTTACAAGTGTAGTGTCTTGCCAGGACGATGTTCATGGGGAGAGAAAAAGCCACGGTTTTGTTCCCATTCTTGTGGGGCCCCAGCCCCGAGGACTGGGCCCTGCCGAGGGTTAGTGCAGAGGGGAAGGGGGAAGCCAGGCCAGCTGCAGAACTGAGGCTTTGCCAGATGGGCTGGGGCCAGGATCTTCCATGTCCCCGCCGGGATCGCTCCTGGCTCTGCCGGGGCCGGGCAGGGAGTGGCAGCCCCGAGGCGGAGGATCGGTCCTGCCACTCCTTCCAGCGGGTGACAGGTACCACTGGGGCTTGGTGTGGCTTTCTGCAGCCAGAGTTCCCTCCCCCGTGGGATGGGGGAGAGAATCCAGAGCAGAAATATGAGGAAACTGCTGGGCTGGGATGTGTTTGATAACAAAAGTAACAGCTGCGCGTACCAGCAGAGCGAGACGCGGAATGCAGTCCCGGTACTTTCTGGCAGCTGTGCCCAGGAAAATCGGGTTCTAACTGGGATGGGGGCTGTGAGGATCCCACAGCAGGATCCCAGCTCACCTGGCTGCAGGGGGAGATGTGGAATCCAGCCCTGCTGGGGCAATGGGGAATGGAGCCACAGAACCCACTGGCCCCTTCCCTCTGGGAGCCTCTCCAGCGCTGCTGACCCTGCTCAATCCCATTCCAGCTCATCCTGCTCAAGCCCTTTGCACATCCCGCCCCACCAAAACCACCTTGCCCTCAGCTCTGCTTGCTGCCGACCCTTCCTGAGGGCTGCTGAGGATGGGGGTGCTCCTGGTGACATCCCAGCAAGGATCACATTCCACCCTCATCCTCACCATGACCTTATCCAGGTTCATGATGTCTGAGGTGGCCCCTGAGCATTGTTTCTGTGATGAGGGGCAGTTTCCACTGCCTTGAGGCACATTCCACGTGCTGACATTGTTTCCCATCCTGTCAAGCTGCTGTAGAACAAACCTCAAACCACATCCTCCATTATATGAAACCAAGACAGGGCAAAAGTGGAAAAAAAACTTTATTTTCAGGGTTTCTCTGAGCCGGGTGCCCCTTCTCAGAATTGTTTTGAGGCAGCTGGGGTTCCATTCCCAGAGCAAAGCAGCAAGCAGGCCCTGGCAGGGTTGGGGGTGCTCAGCTGTTCTGGGGAGCAGAGTCCACTTCAGGACACCTCCAGTGAGGGCAGCCATCAGCAAGGGCTCCATAAAAGCTCCGAGTGGGGAGGGAAGAGGGGCAGGGAGGGAAGAGGGGCAGGACAGACAGCAGCAGCTGCCGGGTGAGGCACATGGATTGTCATTTTGCAGTTTCGGTGCAGGAGGGCACTCCCCAGGCATGCCCGGCTCCAACCCCGGGCGGGGAGGGAAGCAGAGCCCGTGGGGCAAGGATGGCACTAAGGGCGGCCATTACCCTTACGGCTGTCGGTAGGCTCTGAAGATGCTGGGGAGGACCACGGTGGCAATGACGGTGATGACGACGACGACGATGACGATGTTGATCACCAGGGCCGTGATGTTCAGGTACTTGGCCGTGGAGCCGTAGCTCAGGGCCCCGCTGTAGTCACCCAGAACTTTGCGGTCCCTGGACTGGGGACAGGCAGAGCCAGGGTCAGGGGGCTGGAGGGGGACACCCCACGGGGCTCAGGGCTGTGGGAGAGGTCCTGGAGGTGCCAGACTGGGTTGACCCCCCCCCCCCCAAAACACCGGGGATACCATGAGGTGCCCACTGCCCACCCCAAACCCCTGTCATCTCCAGAGCTTCCAGCCGGGACTCTGTGGGGTCAGTGGTCCATGAAGAGGGGACTCTGTGGGCTCTGTGGGGCACCCTCTGGTCTGGGGTTTGTGGGGTCCATGGGACACCCCTCAGCTGAGGCTCTGTGGGGTCCCTGGGTCACGCTGGCACCGGGAGCTCAGTGGGGTCCACGGGGGCTCTGTGGGGTCCATGGGGCATCCCGGGCTGGGGGCTCAGTCGGTGTCCCTGCGGTCTGGGACTCAGTGGGGTCCCCGGGGCTGCCCCCACCCCCCGTGTCCCCCCGGGCTCCACACCTTGACAGAGAAGACGAACGCCAGGAGGCCGAGGCAGCAGAAATTGCCGTACAGGGTGGTGAAGAGGGACCACACCAGGTGGTCCCGGGGCGGCTGCTGCTGCTGCTGTGTCTCCTCCACCACCACCGTCGTGCTCCGGGGCATCTCCTCCATCTTCACCTCTGTCGGCAGCATCTGGTACGGCGGGAGATCCTGCTGCATGTCGCAGTCTTGGGGACAGTGGCAAAGACACCTGGGGGAGCCGTGTAGTGTAGTGTAGTGTTTCGGGAGGTGGAGGCACCGCAGGGCGGGCGCAGCTGTGGCGGTTTCGTTTCCTCGAGATTTAGGACACGGAGCGGGAATAGACCGCCCCTCCGGACGCCCCTGTAAGGGCAGAGGAGACTCCTCCTCGGCAGCGGGAAAACCCCGGGCTCCCTTTCCCTCTCTTTACCCCTCCCTGTCCCCGCTTCCTTCCTTGTCTCCATCTTTACCTGTTCTTTGCCCTCTTTTTGCTTAACTTTTCTTTCTTCAGCCCCTTGATTCCCTGTCCCTTTCCTTGTCACCTTTTCTGCCCCCCATCCTCCCTTCATCCTTTAACCCATTCTTTCCCCCCCCTTTTTTTTTTAACACCTGTGTTGTCCCTTGCTTCTCTTTTCCTGTTTTGTCTCTTCTTTGCCTTCTTCTTTCCTTGCCTTGTTCTTTCCTTCCCCTTTCTTTTTTTCCTCACTTTTCCCCCCTTTTTTGCCCCCTTCATTGCCCCTTTTTTATCCCCTTTTTCTTTCCCACTCTTCCCTCTTTCTCTGTCCCTAATCCCTGTGAAACCCCCAAATCCTGCTAGACCCCCAAGCTCACCTCTATCTAGCACAAATACTGGGTTGAGGCCAGTTGGTGCCACTTTTTGGGGATGCCATTTGGGATCCCCGGAAAGCTCCAGTTGGTGCTGAGGGCTGCACGCCCTTAAAGGAATCCCCCTCTCAGGCTTCTCGGTGTGAGAGTGATTAAACTGTGTTAATGCATTGCAATCCGCAGGATATGTTGTCCTGGAACTTTTTCCTGGCAACTCCGGGAATGTTTCTGATTAAATAAACGGAACAAGTAGAGCCCCGCCCTGGAAACTGGGATTTGCTTTCTGGGAGTCGCAGCCCAGAGCATTGTTGCCCTCTAGTTTTCACAGCTGTGAGTGTATTTTTTCCCTTAATAATAAATTTCCAACATGGAGCTCACCCCCGCTGTTGTAGCTTTTTCCTGGTAGCCGGAGGGTGTGAAGGCGTGCAGAGTCTGTCCCTGGAGTCTCAGTGGCACACTGGTAGCTGGAGGTGAGGAGGTGTGCAGTCTGTTGCAGAAGTCCCAGCAGACTTAATAATATTCTAACTAAAATTTTTGTTTTCGGTTGACTTCTTTGGCTAAAGGACACTTATTCTTATTAAACAGTTACAAAGTACTTAAACTTTCGCTATGGTACTATAACTCAGAAACAGTTATTAACACCTTACTGTGTATCAGCTTCTAGCAAGTCTTCTTTAAAGCTAATTTTATGCCTTCTGGTCCCTTAATTACCGTCCATGCACAAGAGGAGGTGGGTGACCCTGTTGGGTCTGGTCTGGCGTCTGGGGGTGGCACTGGTCCTTTTTCTTGGGTTCACATCGCAGTGTGTGTGGTAAGTAACACCTGGAAAGGTCCTTCAAATTTGGGGGTTAGTGGAGTGGTGGTGTTCCAGGATTTTATTAGCACCCAATCCTCCGGACTGATGTTGTGGGCATTGGTATCCAGAGGGGAGGTTTGGGGGGAGATACCCCTTCTTTCTGAGGCCTAGGGATTTTCTTATGATTTTTAAATATTTTTGAGTTGCTGCCTCCCCTTCTAAATAATCTGCAGTACTGAAAGGGGTGATTAGAAAAGGGAGTCCAAACATCATTTCATAAGGAGAGACTCCTATGTCATATCAAGGTCTTGTTCTGATGTGCAAGAGAGCGAGAGGTAAACACTTGAGCTAATTCATTGTTATCTCTTCAATTAATTTGGTTATTACATTTTTAAGAGTTCTATTCATCCTTTCTACCGTTCCCAAGCTTTGAGGATGCCATGGGGTGTGCAATCTCTACCTTATCCCCAGGGCTTTTGTTACTTGATGCAAAGTTCGAGCAACAAAATATGGACTTCAGTGTGAGTCAATGTTATTGACTAACCCGTATCGAGGTATGCCTCTGTGACTGCCTTTTCCAGGTCATACACTCTAATACATAAATTCTCCCGTAAAAAGTGGTCACACCAACCTTGGATTCCCCAGTGGGTCAATTCATGACTTGGACTACTATCTTTCTATCTCGTGGGATGATCGTTACCTTTAATTGGACTTCTAAGTCGCTTCCTAAGAGATTACTTCCTAAATTTGGCAGATAGATAAAGTCTGCCAAAAATGGTCTAGAATTCCCCTTGATTTTTATATTTTTGGCTATAGATGCTTTAAATGGTCTGCCCTCTGCCCCTAAAATCTCACAGACCTTCTTCCCAATGGTGAATATTACTGGTAACTTGTTTATGCTGGCCTTATCTGCCCCTGTGTGAACTAAGAACTCAAAATCTTCATAGTGGGGACTTACTTCAAAGTTTACCAAGGGCTCTTCTTGATGGTTCATTGGATTTCTTAACTTATAGAGCCCCTGACACCTCTAGTCATCTCCCCTTGAAATCTCTTCTAAAACTTCTTGTTCTTTATGCATTGCCTCATCAAACTGAAACTTTTTATTTTTCTTTTTAAGGTGTCCTATCTCACTACAGTAATAGCACCTCCTATTGCTTTGTGAAGCCTCAGGTTTCCTCAACTCATTAAAGTTCTTATTTGTTTCATATGATGGTGCTGGTTGGTCTCTATTTTTTTTTTTTTGGTAATGGCCCCAGTCTATTCCAACTTGACTTAGACAGCAGTGCTGGTGATCTGTCTGCTCTTATACTTTCTCGAGCAACTGCGGCCATAATTCTAACTTTAGTTTTGGCTCTTTCTTCTTCCTTCCTTAAATATACTCTTAGGACTTCTAGGTGTTAGTTTAACTGATTACACATCTACTGATCTCGGGTTCCATACCATGGCCACTCTCCCTGTAATTTTAACTTCAGCCATACTTCTGTACTGTAATGTATCATCTTACTCTTGTCTAGACCCTTTGTGGTCTCCCAAGAATCCCATTGGTCTAACAATTACCCCAAGGGGCTGTTAGGGGGAATTCTCTTTGCTTTCTCTTTTGAAGGATTCACTCCTTTGCTATACCTTGTTCTTATTTTCAGGCTTCAAAAAGAAAAGAAAAAATATATACCTTAAATGGTCTCTCTCTCTAAAATGGAATATACTGGCATGCAACTAAAGTTCAACAGGTTCTTTCTCACAACTGAGTATTTTAAATATCTTGACTGAACTTAATCTTTAACTAAACTCCCAGTCTTGGTACTACTCTCCGGACACTTTACATTGTCTCTTGCCCAGGATAACCACTAATCACACTCACATCTATGGTCTTCTGTTCTCTTGTTCTTTGGCCTAAGCTTGTTTTTTTTTTTTTGGACTTCTTGCTAGACTTTCTAGGCTTGGACCCCTGCTAAATCTCTCCCCAATTCTTGGCCTTTTGCCCAAACTTTCTAGTAGGCTTAGAAAGCTTGGTCTCCCTGCCGAGGTAAGGTCGAAAACTCTTAACTTTGGCCAAGTAGCCAGCAAATCCCGAGGGTCCCTCGAAGATGAAGCCCCCTAATTGTAATCAACAGGGCTTGTGCCTGTATTAATGTTCAGCTCTTGGGCAGAAGGAGGGCAGAGTCTGTCCCTGGAGTCTCAGGGGCACGCTGGTAGCTGGAGGTGAGGAGATGTGCAGTCTGTTGCTGAAGTCCCAGCAGACCGTCCTCTCTCCTTTCCTCCTGGCACCCTGGTAGCCGCAGGGTGAGGGGATGTGCAGAGCCTGCTGCTGAACTCCAGCAGCAGCTGTCCCCTCTCCTTCCCTCTTGGTAACATCAGGATAAGCTGTTCCTTTGTTCCTGCTTCCCACGGCCGAGTCCAGTCTGGTCCTCTACAGGTTATGGTGACAGGTCAGACACAGACCAGGGATGTGGTTCCCTTTTCCCCAACCAGCACACCCATCCAGCCCCCTCCACTGTGCCCAGCCTTCCATTTTAGGGGTGTTTTCATCCCCAAAACCCCCTCCCATGATTCCACTGGTCTCTCTATTTTGCATCCCAGTCCTAGAATGGCAGTGTGGGTGGGGGGTGAAGGTGATTCCTGGGATCAATTAGCTAATTAACATTTCAATATCAGTACTTAGCTCAGGCCAGCAGTGTCCCAGTATTACCATGGGAACCAGGAAGGCACTTTTGTTCATAACACATGAGACTCGCAGCGAGTGGGAATCGGGGGGTCGCAGCCCCCATGGGGTGCCCGCACCCAGCAGGGGGATGCTCCCAGGGATGCCCGCGCTCATCTTCACGGGACGATCCCGGGGATCCCGGCCCTGATCCCAGGGATGCCCGTGCTCATCTTCCCGGGACGATCCCGGGGATCCCGGCCCTGATCCCAGGGATGCCCGTGGGATCCGTGCCTGCGGGTAGCGCCCCCCTGCGGACCGGGCCGGGCGCTGCAGCTCCGCCGCTGCCGGGCGGGAACGTACCATCCTCGCCGTGGGGGGGGAGAGGTCGGGGGGCGGCCCCGCCGAGGTCCGCGTCAGCAATCCCTCTGACCCCTCCGTCCTCCCGGCCCGGATACCCCGTTCGGTTCCGCCTCGCCGCCGCCCCGCTCTCCCGCCGCGCAGGGCCGGGGGAAGGGCGGAGGGCGCGGCTCCCCCCCGCGCCCCGCATGGCCGCGCCCGCGGCGCCCAGCGGGGATGCCGGAGAGTTGGCATGGAGACGCGCGGCGCCTCGGCAGGCCCCGCCCCCGGGGCGCGTCCATTGGCGGAGAGCCCGCGGCGGGCGCGCTGCGATTGGCCAGCGGGGCCGTCGCTCCCCGTCGGGGGCGTGGCCTCGCGCAGAGCCCGCTCATTCATTCCCCCCGCGGGCGCGGCGCGGGGGGGCGATGCACCGGCGGGCCCGGGGCCGCCGAGCCCCGCACCGAGCCCCGGCCCCACGAGCCGCAGCCGCCCCGCGGCCGGCCCGGAGCGCGCCGGCTGGACGGGCGGGGGGCCCCATGGGCCGGGGTTAGCCCGGCGGTGGCGGTGGTGGCGGCGGCGGGGGCGATGCGGGCGGCAGGATGCCGCGGCTCCCGGTGAAGAAGCTCCGGAAGCAGCTGAAGCTGCTGCTGCTGCTGGCGCTGCTCACCTCGGCCGCCTGGTTCACCTACCTGCACATCAGCCTGGTGCGCCAGGGCCGCGCCCTGCGCCTCCCCTTCGCCTACGGCAAAGGTAACGGGGCGGGGGGGTGTCCCCGGCAGCGCTCGGAGCGGGGCCTCGGGGGACTTCGGGGGTCCCTAGTGGGTGGTGGGTCTCCTCCGCCACTTCGGGGTACCGAAGCATCTGGGGTTTGGGGGTCCCCAGGGTGTGCCGGGACTCTCCCCCGCACTGTGCTCTCAGAGCACCTGAGGTTTGGGGGTCCCCGAGGGGTTTGAGGGTCCCCCTGCCACGCTGCGGACCCGGAGCAACCCCCCCTTTCCAGCGCTGGGTTTCTGTCCCGCGTCACCCGCGTGGGTTTGGCGCGAGCGGGACCCCTCCGTGGGCTCCGCGCCCCGGCGTTGGACCTTCGGCAGGAGGGGACACCCCGGAGGGCCCCCAAACCGGCCGGGGCGTTCGTCGCCCCCCTAGAGCCGCTCCGTCCTCATTTTTCCACCCGCTGCCTTGGCTGAGATGACAAAGAGGCCATTTATAGGCGCTCGCCGCTGCTGGAAGGGACAATCTCTTCTTTCCCATCCCTTCCCCACGGTTCTCATCCTTTCCCAACCCTCCCCATCCCAACACTTTCTCAGCCTGTACTTCTCTACTGTAAAGAAAACAAAATTCCTTTCTTCTCCCTCCCTCGGATAGCGGCTGGGATGGATTCCGGGATGCTCCGGAGGGACAGGTGCCCTGAGGCTCGGTTCGTGTCCAGTCGCTCCCGGTTTTCCCGTGGCAGATCTCCCTGGGCTGCCCGGGGACACACAAAGACACTCGGAATATTTGCCGGGTGAAACTCGAGCCGTGGCGTTCTCGCTGGGACCGACCTCGCCCAGCCCGTTTTGTCCTAAAAAATGAGGAGGGGACGGAATTCGGCTCCCGTGGAGGGAGGGAAAGGCTTTCCAGAGGGGGTCGGAGCCGTGCCGGAGGCTGGTGAAGCCTCTGGGCTGGAAAACCCAAAGTTTCCGAGCCGAGCAGCAGCATGATCCTGCAAAATTTTGGGCCTTATGGTAAAATCGGGATAATGCGAATGAGCGAGACAGGAAATGAGGCTGCTGAGGGAGGGGGGGGGCGCCGGGGGCCGCCGGTTCCCTCCGGGATCCTCCGTGCTGGGAAAGCCGCAGGATCTGCCCGGTGTTCCCGGGGGGTTTTTCCCTGTGTTCCCACCATCATCCCGAGGTGCTTCCCCCTGGCCCCGCCGCTGTCCCGGTGTTCGGGACGGCCATGTCTGGCCTCGGGCAGGGGGAAAAGGGCTTGGGCTCGCTGTCCCCATCCCTGGGAACACCACGGATCGGGGTCCCCGCGGGTGTTGGGGGGGTGAGCCGTGTCTTCCTGCGGGGAGGATGCACAGGGAGGGATGGTCCCAGGTGCTGAGCCTGCCAGGTGCCTATCCCTGCTCTCCCTGCATGCCCTGCATCCCGGCTGCTTCCTCGGGATGCTCCAGGGGGAAGGCAGAGGTTTTGCTGTGGAAGGGAGGGGGTGCAATGGCTGCAAACTGGGAATGAGGGGAGCTGGGCTTTGGTGGAAGTGGGAGGTGGGAAAAGTGATGGGAAAGTACGTTGGGTGGGGGAAATGTTGCCCCTTGCCGTGGGGAACACAGGCACCTTCCGTGGAGAGGTGGGGGATCCTCCAGGGAAAGCTGGATCCAGCTGGGATGCTCCTTGCACTGGGATTTTCCAGTGGCCACCTAAAGCCCGGGTGAAGGTGTGGGAAAGGCAGAGTTTAGGTCCCACTGGGCCTTTTTGGACGTGAGGTGGTGGAATGAGGTTGGGGAAGGGTTTGGCCATGCACAGATGGACCCTCATCCTGCTGCTGCCAGAGTGGGAAAGGCAGGGAGTGTTTTAGATGGAATGGAGTGGAAAAAAAACCCAAAACAAACAAAAAAAAACCCAATAGATCATAGGAAATAAACTGTGTTAAGGAAAAAACTTGTTGCAAGGGTCTGGGGGAAGAGCATCACCCCAAGGTTCTGTGCACCAAAAGGAGTTTGGAGATGATTTTTAGATTTGGCCACCATGAGCCAGGGCCTGTCTGTGCCAAGGGTGCTGCCTGGTTAATTAACAAGAAAATAGGTTAATTACTCATTAAACAGGATGTCAGTGAGCAGCTGGACGCTCTGGAGGCTGCAGGTGCAGGGCATGAGGCTTTTAGGTAGTTTTGGGGGCTGTAAAGTAGGGTAGACCCAGCCAGGTGGGTTGGGAGCACACTGGGATTATCCCAGGGCTCCCTGTGTCCCCTTGCCCTTGGAGCATCCAGGGGCTGGGCTTGGAGCTGTGCTGGTCCCTGATAAAACACCCCCTCCTCTTCCTCATCTTCTCCAAGTAGATAATTACCCTTCTCTGCCTAATTGAACTCACGGATTCCTCACTGGAAATAATGAGGCCATTGCGGTGCTCTCCCAGCTGGAAACAGGGATGCGCCAGGTGGGAAGGGAAAGGATGAAAAGGGAAAAAAGAACTGGGAAAAAATGATAATAAAGCCCTAAAGGAGCTCGCAGTGGGGCTGTGGGGTTTGGGATTTAGCATGGCGTGAGGTTTTGGGGGATTGGGGGAGCACGGGATGGATGCTCAGGGGTGCTAAAGGCAGTTCAGGGATGAAATGGGGCTCTGTCTGCCTGCTGCACATGGCAAGGCCTGGGGCACCCCTGTGCCATGGTCCAGAGGGCTCCCAAACCCCCTGATTCTGAAAAGTGGTGGGATGGATGCTCTGTGTCCTGCCCTTGGCTGTTCTCCCCCCAGGGACCCGTCTTTGGGGAGAGCAGGAGGGAGAAGGTTTGGGATAATGTGTCCCCTCTGGGATCCGTCTCTGCAGATGCTTTGATTTGAGTTGGGAGCCTGGGATGCTGCAGCCTCCTGTGGGGCTCATCCTTTTTGTCAGGGATGCTGGGAGCAGGGAGGGAAGGGGATGAGGAGAGCCCTTTGAAGATGAAGGGCAGTGGGATTTGGGCTGGGAGCTGCTTTTTCTTCTGCTGGCATCACCCCATTCTCCTATCCCTGCTGGGCAGGGCTGGTTTCCCTGGATGGACCCACGTGGGGTCCCAGTGCCAGGGAAAGCAAGTCCCATCCCTGCTGCTGAAAGGGAATTTTGGAGCTGGGGGAATGGGCTGGTTTGGGTGTCACTGGGCTCCTTTTCCCACATGGGAATCCCTTCCCAGACTGCCCCAGGCTCCATTCCCTGCTCCTCTGAGGTGCCCAATGGGAAGAATTTGGCAACTGCCTGGTTTGGGTTTTTCAAGGGCAAAAATGTGGCTCTTCAGAGGCACCAATGGCTTTGAGCCACCCGAGAGTGGCACCTGTAACCCAGCCCCCTTGGCACCCAGAGGGTCCCCAAAACTGTCCCTGGAAGCCAGGGGAGGTGAGGGATGGCTTTTCCCAAGCACCAGGAGCTCTTTGCATTGGTGTTTGGAATCTTTATCCCTCCCAGCACTGCCCTGGATCTCCCTTCTGTCCCTTCCCTGTGCCTGCAGCTGGGGCTCTCCAGAGCTGCTCCTTGGGAAGGGCTGAGCAGCCCCCTGGGGTGTCAGTGGCCTTGGCACTGGCAGGACACAGGGATTTTGGCTGGGTGAGGAGCCAGGTGGGAACCAGCTGCTGGAAGAGGCTGGGAAGATGGATCTGGGACAGTGACCCCACAGGCAATGTGGACTTCAGGGGCTGGAACGTTTCTGGGGTGAAATGCACCCTAAAATTCCCAGCATTTCACGGTGACCTTCTCCAGAGGCTGCATCCTAGGAAGCCAAATCTTTGTGCTGAGGGCTGTGGGTTGAGCATCATCCCTGTTGGGATGGGAGCAGGGTCTCGTGGGAGCTGCTCCAGCTCTCTCTGGGGCTGAAGCAGGTGGGACTGAGGGGCATTGGATGCACAGCGAGGGAAATGGGGGAGGTCTGGGAGCTGTCCAATCCCAGGAGGGATTTCAGATGCTGATTGTGAGCATGGAGGTGTCAGAGCTGCCTCTCCTGGTGGGTGTTTGTCAGCTGGAGTGGTCTCATGGCAGCTCCATCGCCAGCCACAGCGATTCCGCATCGATTTCCATGGCTCCAGCTGAGAGGGCTGCCACGGAGTGGGAAAACAGCAGCAAAGGAATGGAGGAGGCAGCAAAAATCCCCCTCGCTCCTCCAGTTCCCTCAGCAAGGCAGTGACAGGTGCCAGCAGGCAGCAGTGCCCGAGGGAGGCAGGGCAGGGTGTCCAGGGATTGGTCCTGTGCCCCCATGGTGGTCACAAACCCCATTCCCCTCGGCCCCAGGGGTGCCACCAGCTGTCACCCAGCCCGTGCCACCCTCCTCTGTCCAGGGGTTGTGGCTGGGATTTCTGTCCCGTGTGGGATTTGTGGTATTGATTCCTTTCTGGCTAATTATAATTACTTAACACCTTCTTAGGAGGCTCCTGCAGGGATGCTCCTGCTCCGAGGGGGAAAATTTGGGAATGGAACCTCTGGGTTTAAGGAAGGCGCCGCCACCACCTCTGCTGCAGCTGTGTCGGGGTTTAAATGTCACCTCCCCCCCTCCACATGACAGGGCTTGGAAAAGGGCCAGGAGAAACCCCAGCCTGGAAGAAAAGGGCTGTGTTTGGAGCTGAGCAGGAGGAGGGATGTGAAAGGCTCTCTGTGCTTCCCAGCAGAGTTACAGGGCTGGGATAACGGGATGCGCTTCTCCCACGGGAGGCATCGCTCCGTGCCCTGCCTGGGTCCCTCGCATCCCCAGGATGAGGATCCTGCCTCCCTGTCTGGAGGCTGCTGTGACTCAGAGCTGCTTTGTGCCATGGTTTGTGCTTCCTGCCCCCTCCTCGCTGCTCCCAAAGCATCAGCATCACTCCAGGGAAGAGCTTTTAGTGCTTCCATCCCTTCCCTGAGCATCCCCATCCCACAGGCAGTGGGCCCTGCTTGTCCTCAGACCTTCCCGGTCCCTGTCCTGCCCTCTCTGGTCCTTGAGAGAGGCTGCCCGAGGGAATGGACACAGCAGTGCTGCTCTGCATCCCGGTGGGATGCTGGGAGGAGCTGGAATCCTTCTTCCTCCTCTTCTTCTCCTACCTCTGAGCTGCTCCTCCCGCAGGGCTGTGGTTGGGACCAAAGGAACTCTGGATTTTTGGGAGCAGTGATGCTCATTGGCACAACACACTGCCCATCCCCACCCTTTATCCCCATGGCGCTGGTTCCCAGGTCCCCACAGCCTGACCAGAAGTCACTTTCCAAAATTTAAATTGCCAGGGAATTGCATGGAAGCCCAGAAGTCTTTTCTGGAGCGTTGTTGGTGCTTTTGTCCCTCCCTGGATGTGGGAGCCCCTCAGAAGGGATGGGGAGCAAGCAGGGGGCTCGTGGCTTTGGGACCTGAGTGCTCCAAGGATGAGCCTGCACAGCCTGGATTAACTCCTGTTCTTTACCCACTTTATATAAAATAATCTCCCACCAGTTCGCAGCCCTGACATGGAGGAGGGTGAAGCAGGATGGCCTCATCCAGCCACCCCTGTGGATGCTGCAGGGATGCTGCTGGCTCAGGTTGCCATGCAGGGAATTTTGTGCCTGGCAAATCCCACAGGATCCCACGGGAGGCAGGTTTATCTCCTCCTAGGCTGGGAGTGATTCCCTGAGCGGGTACCACGGAGCCACTCCCACCTCCCAGCCCTGGGCAGGTCCTCTGGGAACGCTGAGCTCCTCGTGGCCGTGCTGGATCAGCACGGTGGGAATGCCGCTGTCCCTGTGCACTGCACTGGCTCCAGTCCCACTCCCCATCACCCTCCTGCCCAGGGAAGAGGGATGGCTGCGGGAATGAGGGGAGGGAGCAGCCTGGGGAGCTGCCAGGAGCGGGCTGGGGCTGCCAGGGGCTGAAGAATGGCCGAGAGCAGAAGAAGGGGCTTTAGAGCTTAATTTCCTGTCCCTGCCGTGGGGATGGGATTTGTGCTGCCATCTCCAAGGAGACGCCGGCTGCGCGGCCGCTGGAATACCAATGGTGCAGGAAGCGTGTGGTGGGGGGCTCCAGGCACCCCAAACCCCTCCCTCGCTCTGGCAGCTGCTGAGGTTCTTCCATTTTGGGGAGTGGGAGCCCCCAGGGCTAGCTGGTGGTGGGAAGGAGGGTGTGGAGGGACAGGGTGTGACCCCTTTCCTGCAATTCCCATGGTGGGGGATCGCTGCTCAGCGCACCCTCATTGTCACGTGGGGGTGGCTGGTTTTTGGGGAGCCACAGGTGTTTGTGGAGGTGGCTCTTGGACACCCACCTTTCCAAGCACTGCCTTGAGCTTCCCTTGACTCTGGATTGAACTGTGGATTCCCCTGGGTTTTGGGGGTGGCAGAAAAAGAGGATGTCCCCCCCCGCCAATAACATTTTCCAAGTCTGCACTGTTCTTTTAGAGGAAGTGGGAGTAGTTTAAAATTCCCTGCCCAAGGAAAAGGAGCTGCAGAGGGGAGTCAAAAGTTTGGAATAATTAACTCAGCACAGTAACTGAGTTGATGGGTCTGGGAGCAAGGTTTTGATGTGACTGATTTTGAAGCAGGACATGGTTTGAGGGGATGATATCTGGGAGGGTTTGGGGCTGGTGTGCTCTTGGCAGAGCTCTGGGAGAGCTGGGATTTGGAGGTGTAGGAAGCAGGGATGCATCCCTGAGGATGGAAGGGGTGCAAGAACCCAACAGCTTCTCCCAGCATCTCCTATGTAAAGGGCTGGGAGCTGTGGGGGGGTGTAATTAAATCTGCTGCTGACGAGCTGGTGCAAAGCTGCTTAGTGCAAATAGAATGAGGGAAATTGCAGCCGAGGTCCCCCCATGTCACCCCCCTTTCCATGTCCCTGTCCCCCAGTGCCAGCACCTCCCCTTCCCGGTGCTGGGGAGAGGGGTGTCCCCAAAAGACGTGCTGGGGTGGGGGGCTGTGGTGTGACCCCCCTCTGCTCCCCTGGCAGATGGAGAGAGGCCGGGGGAGGTGACGGATGGCGGGAGGCGGCCGGCGGCGGCGCGGCGCAGGAAAGCCGAGGATTCCAGCGAGAGCCGCGAGGAAGATCTGATGGTAACGGGGCGGGAAGGGGCCTGTGGTGGTCTCTGCTCTCAGAGCAGAGTGCTCCAAGTCTTGTCCAGAGAGGGGATCCAAGGATTTGGGGGATACATCAGAAGCTCTGGTTCTGCCCAGCAGCTCTCACAGTGGATAAACCCTCTCGTATCCCATTGAAGCTGTGTGGGATATCCCCCCCAATATCCCACATGTGCCCTGTCACAGCTTCCCTGGGAAGGGCCCAACTTCATCTGCTCTGCAATTCCTGCTTTTCTGTGCAAAGCCAGCTGCTCTTGTGTGTCCTGTTCTGTCCTGGAGTGGAGAGCCACTACACCCCAGGTGGAGCCTCCAAGCAGGAGGCACTGGGAATTGTAGCCAAGAGGACACCCTGCTGTCCCCTGTCCAGCAGGTCACCAAGGCCCTGCTGTCCCTGTCCAACCTGTTGTCACCAAGAGGCCTCACAGCAGGGCAGCCAGGTGGGATGGCAGGAAGGGGAACCCACGGGGTGTTCCCTGCCCTATCCCAACAGTGGGTCACTCCTCAGAAATAAGGGACAGATGGACCAAGGAGGAACCTCAGGTTCCCAGAGGAGGCACAGGCTGGTAAGGACAGAGGTCACAGCAGGAATTGTATCCTGGCTTTTCCTGGCAGGAGGGAGAATACTTCCAGTGAGCCTGGCACAAAACCCTCCCTCACGAGGTCTTCCAAGGGCACTGCTCCCTCCTCCAGGGCTCTAATTAGTTTGTTTAGGCAGTTTGCTAATTATTTCCCTGGCACTGTGCACCCAAAAGGGCTGTGCTGTGGTGACAGTGCTGTGCCTGCCCTATGGGGTGGAGGAAGAGGGAGGTGATGCTGTGGGGAAGCTGAGAAAGAGGGGAATGCTCTGGAGGGGCCCCAGAAGTACCTGGCTGTTCCTTGTCACCCATCAGCAAGCTGGAGGCAGGTAAATGCTCACTTAATCTCTAATTTACCGAGATACAAGCAATGGGATTAACCTAATCCCCTTTAAAGGAAGAGGGAAAGTGGAGAGGCATCCAGCTGCCTTTGTTCAGGATGTAGAGATCACCTCTGTGCTTTTAGAGAGAGAGCCCAAAATTCCAGCAGCCCCCAAGACTGGCCAAACATTTTGTATGAACAGAAAACTCATTGTTTTGGAGCAGTTTTGGCAAAGGAAGGGAAACAAGTTTAGCTGGAACATTTTGAAACTGCTGCCTGGGACACCTTGCCAATATTTTTGTGCCTCCTGCTTTCCTTTGCCGTGAGCCGTGAAATCTTTCACCTTGGTTTGGCAAGGCTCAGCTGAGGTGTTCAGATCGTGGAATCCTGCAATGGTTTGGGTTGGAAGGGATCTTAAAGCCCATCCAGTTCTAGCCCCTGCCATGGGCAAGGAAACCTTCCCCTAGCCCAGGTTGCTCCGAGCCCTTTCCAACCTGGCATTGAACTTTTCCAGGGATGGGACAGCCACAGCTTCTCTGGGCAGCATGTGCCAGGGATGCACAGACATCCCACGAGCACAGGAGGTGCTGGCCCTGCTCACCCATGCCACCTCTCCCTCTGTGCCTCCACAGAGCGACGGGCAGGACGTGGATGGCTGGTTTTCCAGAGGCCAGCGTTCCAACCGAGCCAGCACCCACCCCAAACTCAACCTGACCAAGCAGGCCTTGCCCTGGAACGAGCAGGTGGGTGTGGGCAGCAGCCTGGGAGGGGATGGAGGAGGAGGAGGAGCCCCACTCAGCTCCCTCTCTTCTCCCACAGTACAAAGGGAAGGCAAACCTGCACGTCTTCGAGGACTGGTGTGGCGGGGCCGTGAGGCACCTGAGGAAGAACCTCCACTTCCCGCTCTTCCCACACGTGAGTTCCAGGACCGGTGCTCAGGAGTTGGTGGGAGGGTCCACCCGTCCCTCCCTGGGTCTCCACTGCTGCTCAGGGCCTTGGCTTGCAGGGTTTGGCTTGGGGAGGTGATTCCCAGCTGGAGGAGAGGTGGGTGGTGATGGGTACCCTCCGTGGGTAACGTGGAGGAGGTGATCCACGCCCGTCTCCTCGGCAGACCCGCACCACGGTGAAGAAGCTGGCTGTGTCTCCCAAGTGGAAGAACTATGGGCTGAGGATTTTTGGCTACATCCATCCCTTCAAGGATGGTGAGTGATGGAGCATGGCCTTTTCCCCCCTGCAGCAATGTGGAGATGCTGTGTCCTTCCCCTTCCTGGCCACAGGAGGACAGAAAGGCTTTTGGAGATGGTCTCCAAATCCTGGCTCCTGGGCAGGAGGGTCCTTCTGGAGCAAAGCCCCTTTTTCCTGTGGCTTTGAAGGGAAGCAAAGCCCTGATCCCTTCCAGGACAGAGCCATGACATGAGGTCTGGGGTGATGGCCCCATCCCTGTTCCCCATCTCACCACGAGGCAGCAGGACTGAGCCCACGCCACCAGGGTCTCTGTGTCCCTCGTGGTGACCCTCTCCGTGTCTCTCTGCAGGGGATTTCCAGTTTTCTGTGGCATCGGACGACAACTCAGAGTTCTGGCTCAGCTCCGACGACAGTCCCTCCAATTCCCGACTGGCCGCGTTTGTGGGCAAGGTAGGGCAATACCTCTGCTCCAGGGGGAAGGATGCATTTGTGGCTGTGCTGGGGCAGCTCTCCTGCCTCTCTGCTCCTTTGGGAAAGCCAGGCTGTTTCAGCCTGCTCCCATCCCTAGCCAGGCCTGGTTTGGCTTCCAAAGGAGCCCCTTGGTCCCTTCTTCGTTGGAGCTGCCAAAGACCAGGAGATTTAATACTTATTCCCAGATTTCCTTGGGGTTAATTCCTGTAATGGGAAGCTGGTGGACTTTGATGTGGTGTCCTGCTGCTCTCATGCTCCTCCTTCCTTCCCAGCTGGGCACGGAGTGGACGGCGCCGGGAGAGTTCACCAAGTTCAGCTCCCAGGTCTCCAAGCCCCTGCGGTGAGTGTCTCCGTGGGGACCATCCCATGGGGATGGAGTCCAGGACTTGCTGCCTCTGACCTCCCTGCACCATGGTCCTTTCCCTAAAGGCACCTGGGGCTGGGCTGCACCCCGGATCCATGGTTTGAAAGGGCAGGTGATGAGGTGGGGATGGGGATGTCACAATGTCCCCTCAATCCCATAAAAGCCCTCAGCAGTGGATGGGGGAGCAGACACCCTCCCCACTCCCTGTTTCCTTGCCTCAGGAAGGTTTTACCCACCCGTGGGCAGGACAGGGAGGCTTTCCCAGGCTGGCCCTGGGCTCTGACGGCTGTGTCCCCTCCCCTGCAGCCTCATGTCCTCCCGACGGTACTACTTCGAGCTGCTCCACAAGCAGGATGACCGGGGCTCGGACCACGTGGAAGTTGGGGTGAGTAAATGCCCACCCCCCATGCCAGGCTCCTCCCAGGACCAGAGAGCCAGTGCCAGGGCTTTTCCCATGTGTGTCCCCCAAGGGCTTTGTCCTGGAGCAAAGCCAGGTTTCCCCCTCCGCGGCTGCCAGTGGGGACAAGTCAGTGTCACTGTTTCCCTGGTCATTCCAGCACTGGGATGCATGGAGTGCTATTCTCCTTTCCTGCTGGTGGTCTTTGGGCAGCTGAAGGTCCTGCTATGGACTCCCATGGGCAAGAAGAGCCCAGACAGGCAGGTCCCACCTTGCTGGCTGCATCCCAGCAGTGGGAGAGAGGTGGACGAGGCGATGGAGCAATTCTCTTGTTTTCTTCTTTTCCCCCCTTGGAATTACCATGGGTTTCGAATCTGAACTTGCCTGCCTTGGCAGCACAGCCCTGGCAAAGCCTGGAGTGTGTGTCAGGGGCTCAGGCTGGCTGAGGGGAAGATGTTGGCTCATTAGCAAAGGTTTCCTTTCTCCCAAGAACTCATTAATCACTGGAATCAAACTGGTGCCAACAAAGCATCAGGGAGGCTGGCAGCACCCCTTCCTCGCTGGCTGCCTCCCTCCTCCCTCCTCTCCAGCCCCTCTGTCCCGATAAGATCTGCATTTCTTTGGGCAAAAACAAATAGTGGGGAAAATAAATAGATGGGGGAGATGTTTCTGAGATGGGCTGTTTTTGCTGGAGGGAGGCAGCAAAGCCTTTCAGCCATGCAGAAAAACCTCTCAGCTGTGCAGGGAGAGACAACAACAACAACATCCACAACAAAAGCAGGACCCTGATGTGCCTCACCCCGGGGGCATTGAAGGGCTTGTCCCGACAAGGGCTAGACTGGCTTTTAAAATGCTGGAGTTAAATCAGGGCAGGCAGCTCTGGAGACCCTCTTAAATCAAGGCAAAGTCTTCTTTATAAAGCACTGGAGTGAGGAAAGGAGCCCTTTGGTCACAGGACTTGTGACAGTCCCAGAGGGAGCCAGCATGAGTCTCTATCCTTCTCACAGGAGCCTTTTCCTCTCTAACCCTGCAGGAATCCCTGATAATCCCAAACCCTGCAGGAAATGGGGCAGGATCAGCCCTCTCTCTTGCTCTGCTTCTGCAGGGAAGTTTCTGGGAGCTGTGGACAGGGAGGACCTGTCCTGGGGTGCTGAGGTTGGGCAGCTGCATCCTGACCCCTGCCACCCCCCTGCTCATTCACCATCTCCTTTTATTTGTTTTCCCAGTGGCGAGTTTTCCTCCCTAGCCTGAAGTTTGAGGTGATTGACTCCTCCTACATCTCCCTGTACACAGGTAAGGGCCAGGTGCCTCCTGCAGCCACAGCCAGCACGTTCTCTAGGGGCTGCATGTGCTGGGAGAGATGGGAAGGAAAGCAGAACCTGGCAAATTGGGTCCTGGGGGCACATCTCAGCCTCTGAATCCCCCCCACTGGGTTTCTGCCTGGTGTAAGGAGGGATGCAGGGGCTGCAGTGGGTAGGAGTGATGCTGGGAGCAAGATGAGATGCTGCTAAAAATGGGATGTGGAGTTAGCACACCATGGAAGCACAGCTCTGCTGGTGCTCCAGCCTCGTCCTGCCTGCCAAGACCCCTCTGGCTCCAGGGCCTGGCCCTGAGTTACGAGGAGCTGTCGTGGAAGTGGGGATGGATGGCACAAGGTTTAATTAAATCTATAGATCTTCTGCTTCCTGCCCCTGCCCTGGCAGCAGGAAAGGCCTTGATGGATGGGTCCTGCCCTGGCGCTCCGCACGGAGCGGGAGCAGCCATCATTCCTGCTCTGGGAGGTGTCGAAAAGGAGGAGGGGGCAGGCGGCAGGCAGGATCCGGGGGGAGAAGAGGGATGAGGGGTGCCAGTGCTGCTGATGCAGGTGCCCATGAGATGGATGATGTGCAGATAAATCCCTGTCCCTCGGCACTAGCTCTTCCTGCTTCTCTTTCCTGCTTCCCAGCTCCCTCAGACCCAGCAGCACCCTGAGGCAAAGCCATGTCACCCTTGGGGAGCCCATCCCTGCTGGGGGCTGCCAACAGCAGGCAGAGCTCCTTCCTTCCTTCCTTCTTTCCATCCTTCCTTCTTTCCATCCTTCCTTCCTCCTTCTGGACTTTTCCAGGGGCTTCAGCCTAAACCCAGCCAGCTGCAGGGACACATTTGGGAAGCCTTTCCCTGCCACAAGAAGAAGAATTTGGGGCTTGGGTAGGGGGATCCTGCTTTTCTGTGGCTCTGCAGCAGGGAAGGGAGCACCCATGGGAGGCAGCTTGGAGCATGGCCGAGGTGATGGGAGCAGGGTGACCTCCTGTGGGAGCCTGGGGGCTGGTTGGTGGCCAAGGGTGACACATGCCACCCTCATCCCTGGGTAGGAGGCAAACCAGCTCATGTTGCAGGAAGGACATCCAAGGTTTAACCCCTCTGTCCTTAGGAGCTACATCCCTGAGCATCCCCTCGTTTTTGAGGCCGTGGTAATCAGAGCAGGAGGCCTAGCTGGGATCAGCCGTGCCCTCATCCTCATTAGTGGATGCAATAATCATTAGGCTGATTAGTCACAGGGTCTCAGAGATGGCTGGGAGGGCAACACTGCCTTCCCCAGCAGCAGGAGGGATTGGGAAAGGCCCCTTGGAGGATGCTCCCGATGTGCCCGGGGGTTCAGCCTGGCCCTGTCCCGCAGATGAGTCGTCCCTGAAGATGAACCATGTGGAGCACATCCCGCAGACCTTGGCCAGCCACAGCGGGAGCCACCTCTGGGAGGCCCAGCAGGACGAGCACGGGGCCGACATGCTCAAGGCCGACCCCAGGGACACGTTCTTCCTCAGTAAGTGCCTGGGGATGCATCCATGCAGATCCCTGGTGGGCTTTGGGGGAGGAAAAAAGGCTTCTGTGGGCACCTGGCTCATCCCTGCCACCCTCTGCCCATCTCTTGAGTGGAGGCATCTCTGCTGGGTCTGTGGGAACACATTGGGATGCTTTGGGCTTCTCTGCAGCCCCTGCCATCGAGGCGTCCCGCGTGGAGAACGTGCTGGTTCCCTGTGCCTACAGCCCCACCTACGTGGTGAAGGATTTCCCCATCGCCCGCTACCAGGGCCTGCAGTTCGTAAGTGACTCCCTGGGGACAGGGCCACGCTGCCACGGGGACATGGCAGAGTCCTGGGCAGGGATGTTCCCCGGGTAAAATCCAGCAGGAAGCATCCCTTGCTGGAGGGTTGGGCTGAGCTTGCACGGCTCAGCCTGAGAAGGTTGGGGTTAAATAGCTGTGTTTAAGTTGCTGGGGGTCACTTTGGTGTTGGTGGTGGCCTCGGGTCCCCAGCTCCTCAGGGTGACACGGCACCATTTACCTGCCAGGTCTACCTCTCGTTCGTGTATCCCAACGATTTCACACGCCTCACTCACATGGAGACAGAGAACAAGTGCTTCTACAGGGAGTCCCCCCTCTACCTGGAGAAGTAGGTACTGGGGGCTGGGATTTTGGGGTGCTGCGCAGAGGGGGCTGATGTCAGCAGTGCTGAAATGATGCATCCTCAGCCACGTGTCCCTGTCCCCCATGGAAGGGCCACCCCAGGCTGGCTCTCGCCCCATCTCCCAGGCATGCAGCAGCTTGAGGGCTGGCAGTGCTCCTGCATTTGGGAACCTCCCCGCACAAATCCCCTCGCACCTCCCTTCTCCCGGGCCCTCACCCTCCCTCTCCACCCCCAGGTTTGGGTTCTACAAGTACATGAAGATGGATGAGGAGGAGGAGGATCCGCGGCAGCGAGCGTTTCTCTTCCTTGGCCCTGACAGTGAGTCACCGGCACCGCTGGGCACGGGGCCGAGCTCCCGGCATCCTCGCTGCTGGCAGCTCATCCCATCGGAGCTGTGGCTCCTTGGGATGACTCCAGCAGTGCCAGAGGCTGCAGGAGGCCTGGGCTGTGCCGAGCAGCATCCCTCAGAGCACCCCTCCAAGCGTTCCGCTTGGCACGACAACAGGGCGGTGTGGGGTGTGGGAAGCAGGACACTGGATTGGGATTTGCTCTCCCTCCAGCACGTCTTAAATTGGTCTTGGCAGTGGGCAGCAGGAACCAGACCCAGCGTGGAGTCTGGGGATGTCCATGGAGCCTGGGGGTGCTCCTGGGGAACCAGAGGCTGTTCAGAGCCTGCCTTGGTCAATTTGCAGCTTGGCAAAGCCCTGGCAGGTCGGGTCTGCTCCTGGATGGAGTGGGATTGGTGCTAAGATTTGAGATGGGGATAAATGGCAGCAACTGGAGCTGCCAGCCCTGTGTGGGTATCCCCTGGTGCCCCAGCTCTGCTCCCTCACCTCAGCCACTCACAGGTTCCTCCTGCTGGGATCAGGCTCTGCCTCCTCGTCTTGGCCTCAGGGTATTAATCTCTGCCTTTGCTGCCTAGATTTCCTGGAGGATGAGGAGGAGGAAGAGGAAGGAGTGGACAGCCCTGAGCCCACAGACACCCCTCCCAAGGCCAAGGAGCAGAGCTTTGGGCCGGCACCCAGAGCCAAAGGGAAGGATCCCGCGCCGCTCACCGGGGATTACGGAGATGACCTGGACTATTACAGCTTCCGCCGGCAGCGGGGCCGGGCACAGGCCGAGGTGGGCACCCCTGGGCAGCTGGGGACGTGGGGCACGTCCAGCCCCCCGGCCGCTCTCCAGGGGGATCCCACGCTGGAGCGGGGCCCGGCCCGGGCGCTCCGTTGGCTGCCCCAGGACAAGGGCGAGGAGGATGAGCTGGGGCTGCCGGCGTCTCCAAAGCACCTGGACCTCCAGCCCCACCTCTCTGTGCCCATCTTTGGTGGCAAAGCCAAAACGCCGGGTCCCGGCAGGCCAGCAGCTCCCAGCGAGGACAAGAAGCCCCGGAAAACCCCGGAGAAAGTCTACGTGACCCGGCTGCAGCCTGGGAAGCGCAAAGCCCCAGCCCAGGAGCCGGCCTTCCCCGGCATTTTCCTGTATCCAAAGCCTGTGAAGAGAGTCCACCTCCGCTCCAGGACCCCGCAGAAACATCCCATCACCCCCAGCAAGCTCCAGGCCGTCCCCGGCCGCCGCGGCCCCTGGCTCCTGAGCAACATCTCCAAGGAGAGGGACCCTGCCAGGCGGAAGAGCGGCAGGAGGTGGGACCGGCCGTCCAAGCAGCGGGTGCTGCCCGGCCTCCTCGCCCTGGGGACCGAGGGAATCTTCAGCCACGAGGACACGACCCCTGCTCCGGGCAGGACAGCTGCCACTGCCGACTACAACTCGTCCGAGGCCGCCCGCTCCGAGGGGAGGAGGGTGACGTCCTTTCTGAAGGTGTCGGAAACCACAGTGTCGCAGCAGGAGGAGGGGAAGGGCCAGGAGGAGGAGGATGAGGAGGAAGAGGTGTCGGACTATTCTTACGAGGCGGGGGAGCTGCAGCAGGGCTGGCTGGAGGACTCCATCAACTGGCAGCGGACGTTCAGCGTCAGCTCCGTGGACTTCGAGCTGCTGCGCTCCGATTGGAACGACCTGCGCTGCAACGTGTCGGGAAACCTGCAGCTGAGCGAGAGCGAGGTGGTGGACGTGGTGGCCCAGTACATGGAGAGGCTCAACGAGAAGAACGGGGGGTACGGAGGGAGTGAGACTGCAGCGGGAATTCAGGGGGTTGAGTCCTGGATCGTGGGAAGCAGAGCTCAGGATGATGGGGATTTCAAGGCTTCTCTTTTCCCGGCAGGATCTACACCCTCCTGAGGATCATCAACGTGGAGAAGCGGCGGGACACGGCGCGGGGGAACCGGTACCTGCTGGAGCTGGAGCTGGCAGAGCGGGGCCAGCGCACGGTGCGGCTCTCCGAGTACGTCTACGTCCTCCTGCACCAGGGCAAGCAGGACGACAGCACCGAGGCCAACCCCAACGGGCTGACCCTGGGGGCCACCGAGCCCCAGCCCAGTACCTGGAGCATCCTCTATGGAAAATCTGTTCTATGCCGGCCGCTGCGGCTCAGCTGGAGGCAGGACGTCATGGTGCACTTTGTGGTGCCGGGTAGGTGACAGCAGGACACGGCTCTCCGAGGTCTGTGCTGCTCCCTCAGCGTCCTCCAGCGGGATGAGGGTGTCGCCTCCTCTCAGAAGGGGTTGGTTTGACTGGGGGGAGGTGCTGTGGGTCCCCCCTGCGAGCCTGAGGGATGTGTTTTTGGCAGTGAAGAACCAGGCCCGCTGGGTGCAGCAGTTCATCTCGGACATGGCCGGCCTCTACGGGGCCACAGGGGACGCCAACTTCAATGTCATCCTGGTGGACTTTGACAGCGAGGACATGGATGTGGAGAAGGCCCTGCGGGATGCCCGGCTGCCCCGGTAACTCCCAGCCTGCAGCTTTGGGGTCTGGGGGGCTCCCTGTGGTGGGACAGGTGCTCAGGGACAACCTGCTGCTCCTTCCCCACCTGCACAATCCCTGCCTCGCTGCCCCCCCCTCCTCCTTTTTGGGGGATTAAACTACTTTTCCATGTGGATTTGGGGGTGCAGAAACTTGACGCTATAGGAGGATGCTCATCTTAAGCTGTAGCACCCTGAGAAGGCATCTTTCCCCTTGTGGTGTCCCCTCCTGGCTGTGTCCCTGCTGTCTGTCCCCAGTGCTACCTGCCCTGTCCTCTCTCCCCAGGTTCCAATACCTGCGGCGCACGGGGAATTTCGAGCGCTCTGCTGGGCTCCAGGCCGGTGTGGACATGGTGGAGGTGAGTGGGGACAGGGACCAGCTCTGGCTGTGGCTTCTCTCCTGGGGCTCTTCCTCTCTGATTCCCCTGACCTGCATCTGTCCCCTCCCAGGACGAGCACAGCATCGTGTTCCTGTGCGACCTGCACATCCATTTCCCTGCCAACATCCTGGACAGCATCCGGAAGCACTGCGTGGAGGGGAAGCTGGCCTACGCTCCCATCGTCATGAGGCTGAGCTGTGGCAGCTCCCCCCGGGAGCCCAACGGTGAGCAGGGACCTCTTTCCAGCTGGGCACACCCCAAAACCAGGCCATCACCTGGTGCACCTCTGCAGGAGGTGGCATGGATGGGGATGGACCCGTGCTGGGGGTTGGGATGGGGAATCCTCATGTGTCCCAGGTGGTGGGGAGAGCACAGAGGGGATGAGATGGGCATTTGGGGGTCCCCCCACCCCTCACCTCATTGCTGCCCCTGCTCCAGGCTACTGGGAGGTGAATGGCTTCGGCCTCTTCGGCATCTACAAGTCGGACTTCGACCGCGTGGGAGGGATGAACACGGAGGAGTTCCGGGACCGCTGGGGCGGGGAGGATTGGGAGCTCCTGGACAGGTGAGCCGGGGGTCCTGCAGCCTGTAAACCCCCAGGAGCAAGGTCAGCCACACGGATTTGGGCACATCCATCAAGCTGGCTGGGGGCTGGATGTTGGGGCAGCGAAGGGGAAAACTTCCCTTTGGGAAGGCCACATCCATTTGTCCATCCATCTCTTGAGCCCCATCCCTTCCCTTCCTCCATCCCCTGAGCCCTGTCCCTTTATCCCTCCATCCCTTGAGCCCCATCCCTCTTTCCTCCATCCCTGACCCGTGTCCGTCCCTCCATCCCCTGAGCCCTTTCCCTCCATCCACAGGGTGCTCCAGAGCGGGCTGGAGGTGGAGCGCTTGCGCCTCAGGAACTTTTACCACTACTACCACTCCAAGCGTGGCATGTGGAACACCCGCAGCAAGAAGCCCTCCAAGGACTAGTGCCCGACCCCTGGCACCTGCCTGTCCCCCACCACCACAGTCACCATGCCACCATGGGGGCTACGCAACGCCCGCCGTGGTTTTCCTGGGGAGGGGGAGCGGGTGGGGTGGTGGTGGTTTGGTTCTCAAGGGTCTCATTTAGTCAGCAATGAATTCATAACTCCTTAGTGCCGGTGGGTCCTGGGGGTCTGTGCCGGGCTGGGGATACTGGAGGTGGAATTGTGGCATCCAGGATCCCTTTGCAGCCCCTTTCCTGCATTGCCCCTCCCTAAAATACCCAGTACCTTGTCCTGGTGTCAGGTTGGGGAGCTGAGCTTTGGGGAGGGGCTAAGAACCCACTGAGGCTGCCCAAACCCTCCTGTTCCCCTTCCAGGACCCATGAAGGCAAGGGGGGTCTGGCACTCGGGACACGCTGTGGGTGGGGGGCAGAGCCCTGAGGCTGGCACTGCCCGTGCCGGGGGGGGCTGGGCTGGGGGGGACAGGCAGAGCCTGGAGCAGGTACGGGCAGATGACATTTCCAAGCTAATTTCTGTGAAATTATGAGGTAGGAAGCTGTTTTCAGGAAGTTTTTGTCTGTTTGGTTTGGTCTTTTTTTTATTCTTAAAAAATTAAAATCAATGTCTTGGCTGAGATTTCCCTCTTCTCCATCACAGCTGGACAGGGATGCAGGGCATGGGAGCCAGGTTGGTCTTTGTGCCCTGGTCCCCAAGGTTCCTCTCTCTGTGGTGGGATGGGCAGCAGCGTTCCGTGCTGTTTCCATGCAGGGAGGAGGAGGAGGAGGCAGCACCCTGTTTGATGCCCGGCCACACGCCCGGGCTTGCTGAGCCTCCGCCCCACACCTGGGCTCCACCCAGCTCCAGGGGGGGCTGCGCCGGTTCCCTGTGCTCCTGCATGTCCTGGCATACTTGTCCCTGCCCACCCCCGTCCCAGCCCTGTGCTGATGCTTCCCCTCACCTGTGTCTGTTTGTGGTGGGTGTCTCAAGGGTTCTGTCGTGTCCCACCTACTATGGGCTCCTGCTCCTCAGCCAGGTCCCATGTCTCAAATCCCCTGGGCTCCTCCCTGAAACAGTCTTGGAGTTTCCCTCCAGGTGTTTCATTCTGCATTTGTATCCCCCAGGCTCACTCTGAGCATCCCGAGTTTGGGGTGAGGGCTCAGCCACCCATGTGCCATCAGAAACAGCCACAGCCAGGGGCTTGTTGTCCCAAATTTGGTACCTGTGGCCTCAGGCTCTGTTGGGAAGGGACCATCCTGGCAGGCAGGAGTTGTTTCTCCCCTCTCCTTGCCCTGCTCCCTGTTTCTTTTGCAGCACTTTGGGAACGCTTTGTTGTGGGTGAGGGCTGTGCCCGCTGCGCTGGGAGCTGCTCTGTGGTTGGGCAGAGCGGGTGGCCCCACGGCCCCTGGGCCACCAGTCCTATCCCAAAACCAACCTGGCCTTAGGCACAGCTTTTCCAGCAGCTTCCCAGCCGGGAGAGCTCCAAAAGCCACCACCATCGGAGTGGGCACCAGCCAAATCCAGAGCTGGTGCTGGGAAGGACTGGTGCCAGCAGTGCCATCCCCTCTGGTGCTGGGGACAGTTTTGGGACAGGGCCAGCAGCACAGCGCCGGAGGGTTTGTTTCTCCGGTGGTGGCTGAGCTGTGGCCACGGGTTCAGACAGGGATCACGGGGATTGCAGGAGCCACAGGGAGCCTCTCTCCCTGGCCAGGTGTTGGAGCCCCAGGTGACAGCGAGGTGCAGGCAGGTCCCCACTCCTGGAGGATCAGCCCTGGCCCTCCCTGCCCCGCGGGGACACGGCGAAGGTGTTGGGGCTTGTCGGGGCGGTGGAGACAAACTCCAGCCTGGAGTTCCCTCGCTGAGGGGCTGCCCCAGCCATGGGCCTGAGAGGGGAGGTCGTGGAGGCTGGGGGGAGCACAGGGACCTCCTGACACCCCCGGGCTGAGAACGGGCCACGCGTGACAGCAGTGGTCATGTGGAGGGTCCTGGCACCTCCTGCCCTGCACTGGGTTCTGCACTGGGGGGCTCCCTCCTGGCGTTCCCTGGGGAGTGTGGGGTGTGGTGGGGGGCCTGGGTTAGTGGTGGTAGGAGCTAAGCGGTGACCCCCCCAAACTGGTTTGGCCCGTTTCAAACGCTCCCTCTCAGCTTATCTGGCTTCAAAGGGCTGCTGCTCCATCCCACGCACACAAACACGCTCCCTGTGAACCAGGGGGAGCCCCCTGCATCCCAAAAAATGTCTGTGCCCCCCAAACTCTGCCTCTCCATCTTCTCCTTCTGACACCTCCAAACCCTCCCTGTTACACCCACGGGTGCCCCGAGCTGGCTGTTCAGGGGGATGTGGTGGGAAGGACACATTGGATCATGGCCATGGTGGCGGTGGGGATCCCTGGGGACTCTTTGCAGCATCGTGAAGGTGGCCAAGACGTGGCTCTGCTGTGGGGGCTGCCTGCCCCCGGACCCCTGGCCGTGCTGAAGATTTTGAGGAGCCCCAGTGAGCCCCGAGATCCCAGCCTCGGCGGGGAGGCGAGTGTGTTCCATGCAAAACCCCGGCGAGGAGACTGGTTGGGCGAGGTGCGGGGCGGGCCCGAGCACCCCACGCCCGCCGCAGACGCCGGCGCCCACCCGCACCCCGCAGCACCCAGGGGTGCACCTGCCCGCCCGAGGATGCTGCAGGACAACGGCCCTCCGGGGCCACCCAGCCAGGTACGTGCCGGCCACTCCCGCGGCCACCATCGCCACTGTCCCCACGGTCCCTGGGGAGAGCCGGTGTCACTCGCCCTGCCACGCAGCCTGTCCCCTTCCACTGACCAGGGTGCTGCCGGGGGTTTGGGGCTCCAACACGTGGGTCTGGTGGCTGCCCAACAGCGGCCAGCTCTGGCCAGGAGGCTTTTCCCTCCCTGTGCCTCAGTGTCCCCAGCGGCTCCTGGCACGTGTGCGCGGTGTCCGGGCTGCGCGGAGCCACAGCGGCCACTCCCCGCCCCGGCACCGATGGCCCCGGCGGGCACGGCCAGCGCCGGGACCCGGGCGTGGGGATGGGCACTCGGTGCTGCTCGGGGGGTGGGAGAGGACCGCGGCTCTCCCGGGAGCCGGGGCTTCCCGGGAATGTGGCTCTGTCACCCCGCAGGGGAGTGACAGAGGTGCCTCCAGGCTGGGGGGGTTCAGCGGCTGCTTTAGAGACCCCGGATTGGGTTTGTTTCACCCTGTGTCATTCCAGCTGTGCTCCGATCCCCTCGGGAATCCCTCAATTTTGCTTCAAAAGTTAACTTTGTGCTGATTTGCTGTTTCTAAGGCCCCTGGTGCATCCCCCTCCTACCCGACCTTCCCTAATTAACGAACTGCTTGATGAGGCAAGCGCTGCCCATTCCAGCTCTAAGCAGTCCTTGAATCCCCCCGGAGCCCTGAATTTCCTGTTGTCAGCTGCAGGGCAAGTGTTATGGTGGGGGAATGTGGGTTTGGGAGGGAGACAGAGCTGGGGGAAGGTGGGGGTGCCAGTGGGCTCAGAGTTGTCCCCGCAGCCCCTCTGTCCCCCGGAGCTGTGGGGCTGCTGGGATGGCCCCGATCCCCCGGGATCCTGGCACGGGGACGGAGGGCAAGTGTTGGCTTGCTGAGGGAGCGATCCACCCGCTCCGCCCGCTGCGGGGGGAACCCGTGATTCATCCGGGCTCCGAGGCTTGGGAGCGCCCGCCGAGCTCTGCCAAACTCGGTGCGCCCGTGGGGTGGTGCCGCGGTGGGAGAACAGGGGGGGCCTCGGGGGTTTTCCTGGGTGCTGTACCCCAAAAGACACGGGGGGGGGGGGGGGGCTGGGCAAAAGGGGGCTCCCACAAGTCCCAGATTTGGGGAGGTGTGTTACCCCACGTTGTTCCTCAGCCCATCCAGATGGTGCCACCAAGGGGTGTTTGGGGCGGCCACCGGGGGGCTGACACCCCAAAGTGCCGGCCCGCAGGTCTCACACCCCGCCCCTGCCGCGGCTCCTGCTGACGGCGGCACATTCCTCGGGCACAGCCGCCCTTTTCACCCCCGACCGAAGCGCGCACGGTGTCACCGCCGGGTGTTGTAAACCCGGCCCAGCGACGCTGCTGTCGCTGCCGGAGCGGTGACGCCAAGCGCTGAGCCAGGGCTGGCCACAGAGCCAGGCCCGCGTGGCCACGCTCGCCCCAAACCACCCGCCTGGTGACACGGAGCCACCGTGACCCCGAGCAGGGGCTGAGAATGGTCACAACTCGGGTCAGGGATGAGCTGCTCAGCCCACGAGCTGGGCTGCGGGACAGTGGCGTGGCCTGGCAGCGGGGCGATTTCGGGAGCTGACCCCGAGCACAGCGGGCCAGGGGGACGTGGTGTCCCCAGTCTGGCTGCCATGGGGCGGCTCGGCAGCTGGGGCGAGGCTAATTAGTACCTGTGGTGGCAGCGGGGCCTGAGTCACCGCGTTCGTCACCACGGGCCCGCGGCGCTCAGCCGCCCCTTTTTTATTATTGTTGTTTCTTCATTCCCCGGCTGATTTGAAAAGCAAAGCAGGGAGGGCTCAGCCAGGAATTACTGCAAGGAGCCCCCAATCCAGGCTGGACCCCTGTGCCAGATGGGGGTCCAGAGTGCTTCTGGAAAGTGACTTGAGTGATCTGGGGGTCCCTGTGGAGGTGGCCTGGGGCTTTGTGGTCGGGGCTGGTTGAGAAGTCTCCCTGGTGGTCTGGGACACCTCTGGGACCCCATGTGGGGGTCTGGGGCTCACTGGAGTGACAATCTGGGGGTCCAGAGCTGGACAGAGAATTCCTATAGGGGTCCAGAGCACTGTCCTCAGAGGTTTCCTGGGGGTCTTGAGCTCATTGAAGGGACATTGTAGGGGTCTGGAGCTCAGTGGCAGGGCCATGTGAGTCTCTGGAGGTCAATGGGAAGGTTCTCCAAAGGTCTGGGGCTCTTCTAGGAGACCATGTGAGACTCCAGGGCTCACTGGAGGAACAAAATGTGGTCATCCAGGCTGCGGTGGCAGAGATGAATGGGGAGGCTTTGTGGGGGCTCAGGGCTGTTCTGGGGGGTTTCCTGGGGGTCTTGAGCTCATTGCTGGGACAGTCTGGGGGTCCGGGGCTCACTGGTGTGGCTGCCCAGGAGTCAGGGGGTGACTGAAGGGATCCTGGCATTTCCCAAGGTAGGACCCCCAGACCCCTGGACCACCCCATCCCCGAGGTCACCCCTGGGCACCTCCACCTGTGGCGGTGACGATGGTGATGGTGTCAATGGTGACAGTGGCCCCGGTGGGGCCCCCTCCTTTTCGCGGCGAGGCGTGGCGGCGGGGCGGGACGGACGGGCCGGGACGGAGCCTCCCTACGGCTGGGGAACGCCGGAACGCCGCCACTGCCGCCGCTCACCTGCGCAGGGCGGCCGGGCTGGCCGCGGCCCCTCGGCACCATGCAGGAGACTAATGCCTTCCTGCTGTCGGCCCTGCAGCCCGAGGCCGGCGTCTGCTCCCTGGCCTTGCCCTCGGACCGGCAGCTGGACGAGCGTGGCCGGGAGGCGGCCGAGGCCCAGCGGCTGCGCAGCGCCCGTGTCCAGGAGCAGGTCCGCATCCGCATGATGCTGCGGGGGCAAGCGCCCGCCCGCCCCGAGGAGCTCACCGACGGCACCAGAGGTGGGACACCCCCGGGAGCCCCCGGGAACACGCGGTGGGACGGGTGGTGGGAGCCCCTCGGCCGGCGCTGGGGCTCTGGGCGCACACTGACTGCGGGTTGGGGGGTGCCCCCCATCCTGACCGAGTCCCCCGAACGCTCTCGAGCATCCCCAGCCCTGGGATCAAGGGTAGCTCAGCCCCAGCGTGGGCTCGTTTTATCCCACTCGGGGTCCTGCCTCAGTTCTCCCACCTATCCTTGGAAGGCTTTGCGCTGGTGGGGTCCCACACCCCGCATTGGGCTGGCAGGGGGGAGGATTTTCCCGCCCTGGCAGAGCCCCCACCAGCCTTGAGCGCCGGCGCTGGCCGGGCTCCAGCTCCTCCATTTAACGTCTGCGCCGGCGGCCTCCGCCCTGCCGCCCCGCCCGGCACCGCCGGGATCCCCCGAGACCCGACCCCCGCGCCGGGGACCCCAGTGGTGGGGACAGACCCCTGTGACACCCCGAGGGCTGCCCCACGCGTGAGTCACGCTGCTGGCACCACCAGCACTGGCGGCGTCCCTGTCCCGTCCCTGTCGTGTCCCGCCGGCAGCCCTGGGGCGGTGGCAGGGCAGGTGGGCAGCGTGAGGTGCCATGGAGGGCACTGGGGTTCCAGGTGCCGTTCCCAGGGCGGGGGAGCCGGGACTGGCTGTGGGGGATGCCTGGGCTGCTGATCCAGCCGCGGCAGGGGGGGACCGGGCTGAGCCGCGGTGTCCCCGCCAAGGTGGCAATTAGTGCCCTCGCCGTCGGGGCACGAGGCAGGCCGGGGAGGCCACTTCTGCTCCCCGTGGCCAGCGGGCAGGTGAAGGCGGCCTCTTTCCACCCCTTTGTCCCCCAAGCTCTGTTTGCGGTGCCCCGGTTCCCGCAGCAGGTCCCCCTGGGATGAGCTGGGGCGATCTTTGATCTCCAGATCCCTCCCCGCCCTGCCTGTGCTTACTCTGCCTCCTCTGTGCTGCAGGCGATCAGTACAGCTCGACCCTGCGCTCCTCCTTCAGCTCCCGCTCCCAGAGCAATGGGGTGGACCCCAAGGCCTCGGTACGTACCGGGGCTCCGTCCCCTGCCCACCGCCTCAACTGCGCTGAGGAGAGCTCTGTGCTCCCCTGGTGGGGGTGGAGGGACAGACTCCCAACCTTCCATCTTCCCCCCTGCAGCTGTACCAGCCGCTGGCCAAGAAGGATTTCGGCACGCTGCGGGGCAGCGGCTGGTCCTCGCGCTCGGCCGTGGACCTCACCCCGCACAAGCGCATGGCCACCATCAGCAACGGGGGCCTGGCCAAGGGCCGCGCCTACGTCGCCGGCTACGCGGCCTCGCAGGCGGCCACCGCCTCGCCGCGGCCCAGCTCCTTCCACGAGCGCAACTTCCGCTGCCGGCAGAACCTGGACACGCTGTCACTGCGCTCCCTGCGCCTGGCCGACGGGCCCCTCCCGCTCGCCGACGACCGCTACAGCGTCCTGTCGGAGCAGCTGGACGCGCCGGGGCACCGGCAGCTCTACAAGAGCCAGGCCGGCGGTGGCTTCGGCCGCTCCTTCGCCTTCGAGCGGCAGCTGAGCGCCGGCACGGCCGCCAAGGCCGCCTGTGACTGGCTGGACGGCGCCGAGGGGCCGCCGAGCCGCACCATCCGCGCGCCCGCCATGCGCACGCTGCAGCGCTTCCAGAGCAACAACCGCTCGCGGCTCAGCGCCGGCTCCTTCGGCACGGTGCCGGCGGGAGGCGGCGGCGCCTTCCTGGGGCTGGGGGAGCACAGCTCCCGCGCCCCCTCCGTGCGCAGCCTGGCCGAGTCTGGCCACCACCTCGCGGAGCCGCGCGCCATGGAGATGTACAACGGGCACAGCACGCTGCTCGGCCACCATGCTGGCGGGTGAGGGCCAGGGGCTGCTCCGGGGTGTCTTGGTCCTTGTCACCACTGTGGGAGGAGTGTGTCCCACCCTGCTGGAGGAGGGCAAACCCCTCCAGCTCCCCCTGGGCACCAGGGATGTTGGGAAGAGGGGTGGGATGGTGGGCGCAGCGTGGTCCTGTGGTGATGCACCACAGCACCGGCTGACCTCCAAGTGTATCCTGCCCCTGGCTGCTCCATGGACACATCCTGAGACATGGCAGGAGGATGATGCTCATCCCACTGGGAATGGAGTCCCATGCCCAGAGCGCAATGGGAAGGAGATGGGTTCATGGGACTCCTTGGACATGGGGGACATGGTGGGGTGCAGAGGTGGAGGATCCTGTGGGATGCTCTGCTGGGACTCACCCAGCTGTGGTTCCAGGTTTGACGATATCGACCTGCCCTCAGCAGTGAAGTACCTGATCGCCAGTGACCCCAACCTGCAGGTGCTGGGCGCTGCCTATCTGCAGCACAAGTGCTACAGTGACAGCAGCGCCAAGAAGCAGGTGAGTCCCCGGAAAGTGGGAGAAGAGATTTTCCCAGTGGGGGCAGGGGGTTTCCCAGCCCCTCTGACACTGCAGGCAGGTGCAAGGGATGGAGGGAGCCCTGGGAATGCAGCATGTCTGACCCCCCCGGGCTGTCCCCCAGGCCCGCAGCCTGCAGGCCATGCCCAAGCTGGTGAAGCTGTTCAACAGCCCGAACCAGGAGGTGCAGCGCCACGCCACCGGCGCCATGCGCAACCTCATCTACGACAACGCCGAGAACAAGCTGGCGCTGGTGGAGGAGAACGGCATCTACGAGCTCATGCGCACCCTGCGGGAGCCCGACGATGAGCTCCGCAAGAACGTCACAGGTTGGGGACAACAGTGGGGTGGGCGAGGGTCCCCCTCCCCTGAGGGTGGCCTCTACTTCCCTCATGTGAATGGAGCTCCACGGGGATGATCCCTTTGCTTGGTTGTCACCAGCAGAAGCTCCCCCGGTGGGGGAGTTGGGGTGGGTGTGCTCTCCAGACGTTCCAGTACTGAGGGTCCCCCTCTGTGCAGGGATCCTGTGGAATCTGTCCTCCAGTGACAACCTGAAGGATCGCCTGGCCCGGGACACACTGGAGCAGCTCACAGACCTGGTCCTGGTCCCTCTCTCTGGGCTGGGGGCCTCGGGTGTCATCCAGCAGAACCCCTCAGAGGCAGAGATCTTTTATAACTCCACGGGCTTCCTCAGGTATCTCCTCCAGGTCCTCCCACTGGGAGCAAAGTTTCAGAGGGAGGAAGAGACAGGAACACTGTCTGCAGGGCTCTTTTTTGGGCTCAGGAAGGGGTGGTTGTGGGGGATCCCCTTCTCTCCATAACAGAACCCCATTCCCATGCAGGAACCTGAGCTCTGCCAGCCAGCAGACCCGGCAGAAGATGCGTGAGTGCCATGGGCTGGTGGACTCCATGATCCACTATGTGAACAGCTCCCTGGAGGTGGGGAAGTCGGAGGATAAGGTGAGCCCCCAAGCTGGTGGTGGAGTGGCTGAGGTGCTGCTCCCCCACCCTGTTGTGCAAAGGCCCGTCTTGTGATGCTGGGAGAACCAGTCCAGCCCCACAGAGTCCACCAGCTGGGCTCACTGGGCACGGCCAATGTTATGACTCTGCTGTGGAGCCCCTGTGCCCACTGGACACACCCTGCAGGTGGCCCAGGGATGACACCCTCGTGTCCCCTGTGCCCTCCCAGAGTGTGGAGAACGCTGTCTGTGTCCTGCGCAACCTCTCCTACCGCTTGTACGATGAGATGCCCCCGTCCTCGCTCCAGCGCCTCGAGGGCCACCGGAGGAATGCCGGCGGCACGATGACAGGGGAGCTGGTGGGCTGCTTCAGCCCCCAGAGCAAGAAAGCCCGGGAGGTCAGTGGGGGCACATCCTGGCCGTGTCACCGGGGTGGGGCTGCCACTGGGAAGCGCTGGCAGCAGAAGTGATGCCAGGGTGGAGGTGGATGCCGGCCTCAGCCGGTGGGTGGGACACACGGGTGAGCTCAGAGGAGGGTGAATCAGGTGTTTGGGGTGAATCAGGGTGCTGAAGCCCTGCTTTTCCATGACATGGGGCATGATGTAGCCACGGTGACCTGCCCAGCAGTTCAGGCCAGGCAGGTAGGGAAAGGCAACACCGGCAGGGAGGAACACTGTGAGTCTAACAATGCCCCTGTCCCTCAGCACTACCTGAACGCGGACATCGTTACCTTCACGGAGGTCTCCAAGGACCCCAAGGGCATGGAGTGGCTCTGGAACCCGCAGATCGTGGGCATCTACAACCGGCTGCTGCAGCGCTGTGAGCTCAACAAGCACACGACGGAGGCGGCCTCGGGTGCCCTGCAGAACATCACGGCCGGGGACCGCAGGGTGAGGCCCGGGGAGCAGCGGGGGTCCCACAGCCTGCCCATCACAGCCGTGCTGGGAGGGGGCACCTGGGCAGGGCTCACCCCGAGCTGCTCCCAGTGAGCGGGAGGAGCAGGAGCAGGGAGCTGGCGGGGTCTCCAAGGGGGTGTTTGCCTTGCAGTGGGCGGGCGTGCTGAGCCGGCTGGCGCTGGAGCAGGAGCGCATCCTGAATCCCGTGCTGGACCGTGTCCGCACTGCCGACCACCACCAGCTGCGCTCCCTCACCGGCCTCATCCGCAACCTGTCCCGCCACGCCCGCAACAAGGACGAGATGTGTGAGTGCCGGGGTGAATCAGGGCTGGGGGGTTCTTCCCAACCTTTTCCTTTGCCTCCCGTTATCTCCAGCCACATCCCAACCCCATCCTGCCTGCTGCATCCCTGCTTGCAGCTGAGTTTGCGGGCTGTTCCCAGACACGGCTGTGTCCCCTCTGGCTCTGGCCACCAGCCCTGATGTCCCCTTTGCCCACAGCCACCAAGGTGGTCAGCCACCTGATCGAGAAGCTGCCAGGGAGTGTCGGGGACAAAGCCCCTCCTGCTGATGTCATCGTGAACATCATCGCGGTGCTCAACAACCTGGTGGTGGAGAGCCCCATGGCCGCCCGCGACATCGTCTACTTCGACGGCCTGAGGAAACTCTTCTTCATCAAGAAGCGACGGGACAGGTGGGAGCTGTGTGTCCCAGCTCACACCCGGGCTCCTGTCCTGCTCTCCTCTCCCTCTCTGCTCCAGCACAGTGGAAGAGGGTCACAAGTTCCCCTTCCCAAGCCTTGGTGTTGGGAGTACCCACACTAGCTCAGAGTGGCCACCTGCCAGCCCTTTGTCACCCCCTAAGGACACCCCACCATCACCAATGCTGCCTGTTCCCATCAGGGAGCCTCTCCCTGCTCTTGCCTGTTATTGTGGGATCCAGCCATTCACCTCCTGCCTCTCCCCACCCACACTAAGCCCCCAGTCCCTCCAGGCCCCTCTGGGGTGATCTCCTTGTGCTGATGGGCACCCTCCCATGCTCAGTGTCCCCAAAACCTCATTGCTTCCTGTCCCTTTCCCAGCTCGGACAACGAGAAGTCCTCCCGAGCTGCCGCCAGCCTCCTGGGAAACATGTGGCAGTACACCAAGCTCCACCGGGACTTCAAGATGGTACGTACCAATTCCACAGCCTCCCACAGCCAGTGGGAGGATCCCTAGGGAATCAAGGCCAGGGGATTCATCCTAGAGAGCCACACCACCCAAATGCTTCCCAGGATATGGTGGGGTCCCACTCCATCCCTGCTTTTCTTCAGGTGTGGGGACAATCCCAGCACATTGTCCCTGTGCGGGTGGGGTGGGGACGGTGTGGCCCATCAGTGCCGGAGCAGAGGGGCTCCGTGTGCCTGATGGGGCTGTCTCCTTGCAGAAGGGGTACCGGAAGGAGGACTTCCTCAGCCTCTGAGGACACCCTGGGAGCTGGAATGCCTCGCTGGGATGCTCCGTGCTGCCAGCCATGCTGTGGGGAGGCTGCTCGCCGCCAGACCCCCGCTCTGTAGTGTAATCCCTACATTCCATGTGCATCCCCCCTCTGCCAGCTCCCCTTTTCTGGCTGGGGGACACTTGTCCTCCCTCCTGCCCAGCCCTACACCCAGCAGCTGCTTTTGGCTCTGCTGTGGGGCCCCACTGGGACCCCAGTTAGAGGGGGCTGCCCCATGGCACCTCTTGGGGGCCCTCCCCACGCTCAGGCAGCTTCTGCAAAACTTGGCTTGTCCTGGCTTGACAGGGGGGCAGGAGCTGTAGGGAGTTGGGAAGGTTTCTGTAGAGCAATTCTTGGGCAAGGGGGCTTCTGGGGGTGCTTCATCCCAGCTCCCTGAGCTGGGGGTGTCTGTGCCCTGTGCCAGTGTGGGATGTGCTGTGGGTTACACTTTTGTTCTGCCCTGGCTGGGTGGGGATAGAGCTTTGCATGGCTTGGGGGCTTGGTAGGCTCTGAGGTGGCTTCCCACAGTTTATGGGGTGGCACAGCGGCTGCAGGGAGCTGGGAAGTGACGCTGTGACAGCGCTGCATTCCCCTTTGCTGTGGAGGGTGGGCAGGGGGCTGTGTCTGATGGGCCTCTGTGCCCTCACTGCAGGAAGCCTGGGAGGGCCTCAGGCCCATCTGTCACCCTGTGGGGACTGTCCCAGTGTGGCAGAGTCGCTCCTCACCAGCTGCTGCCAGGGCTGGGCCCTGCTGGTGCAGCAGGATCCGGGCAGGGCTGCCCGGGTCGTGTTTGCTGAGCAGCGTGGCCCCGTGGGTGGGGAGGTGTCCCCGGTGTCCCCGGTGCTGGGTGCAAAAGCTCTCGGGTCCAAAGCTCTCTGTGCCACAGCGGTGGCCAGGAGGGGACACACGGGTGGGCTGGGGATGGCTTTGGGGCTGGGGGAGCCCCCACGCTTAGGGGGCACAGGGCACCCCGTGGGGGGCACGATGTAGAGTAGGTAGAGGGGTGGGAGGATGGGGGGAGCGGGCGGAGGGGCTGGAGCAGCCCCATGGTGAGCGGCACCGGCGTGCTCCAGGCTCGGGGTCAGGGGGTGTTTGGCTGTGCTGCTCTCTGTGTACAATCCCCCTGCCCTGTGTACCCCTGAAATAAAGGCCTTGAGTGATGCCCACCTGCACCTGTGTTTGGATGGCACCTGGGAGAGTGGGACAGTGTCCTGGTGTCACCAGCACAGGGTGAGGTTCCGTGCCTGGCATGGATCAAGAGTTAAGTGTGACAGGGACACTGGTGTGGGAGGGACAGACCAGAGCACTGCCTGTGGTGAGGAGACCTCCCCCATGTCACCTGTGTCCCCATCATGGACAGACCCAGTGGGTGCAGCAGCCTTTTATTGTCACGGGGGTTTCCATAAGGGACAAAGGTGCTGTCACCACTCCTCTCAGGCACTCCCTGGGGCTGGGGCACATTGTTCCTTGGAGAGCATCACCCATCCCAGCATTTGTCCATCATGTAGGAAGAATGTCCCTGCCACCCACGGCAAGGGAGAGGGCCCAGCCACCTGGGTGGCACCCAGGGGTGGCACTGAGGTATTATAGGCAGGGTGCTCCTGGTGATGGTTTTCCAGTTTTCCACTTCGGAGCCAGCTCCTGCTTTCCCAGTACAGCCGTGGCTCTGATCCCATCATAACTCCGGGGCTCCTCGGCCCTGACCTGGTCCATGTGCCCCACAGGGCCGGGGGACACCCGTGGTCCTGCTCAGATGTCATCCTCTGTCACCAGGCAGTAGAAGTCCGTGCGGGCACCGTAGTTGCGCAATCCCAGATCCGAGACGTCGATCTCGGAGCGCTGCCCGTCCCGCAGCTGTGCGTCCTCCATCCCGCTGGCTGCTGGATTCCTGGGAGTGCTGTGCCCACCGAGGCGGGGGGGCGGGGGGCTCCCGAAGATGCGCCCTCGGAGGCCTGGCAGGAGCAGGGAGATGGGTTTATGTGGAGGGGAAAGGGGCTGGACCCACCCCGGGAGTGACCTCCAGCGCCCATCTGTCCCCTCGGGAGAAGCAGCAGGGACACAGACCTGTGCCCAGGTCCCCGTCCGGATCCAGGTCTCCTGGGCTGTCCAGGTAGCTGCTGTGCAGGATCAGCATGGGGTCCTTGTCCTCCTGCAGCTGGGTCTGCGGGTCCCCCACGCTGCCCGGGAAGGACACCTTGCGCGGCAGGGCCAGGCACAGCTCCTTCCAGAAGTCCGACGATGGGGTCTGCAGGAGCCCGGAGGAGATGAGCCAGGCCGGGACCACCGGAGCACGGCCCCGCAGGGTTCCAGGAGCTCGGCTCGCTCTCCCCGGCGCTGGGAGCTCGGCCAAGGTGAGGGCTGTGCTCCGGCATGGCACCGTGCCCACGCGCCGGCGGAGAAACCGGCCCGACCTGCTGGAACGCTCCCCAGGGCTCCAGCTCCCAGCCTGGCCCCGAAATGGCCGGAGTGGCCCTGGGCCAAAGCTCCGCTCGGGGAGCTGAGGCCGGGGAGGCCCTGGAGTGTCATGGGGTCCTGACCATGCAGGTTTGGGGAGTGAGCTCCCAGATGCGGGGCTCTTCTGGTTGGGTTTTTAAATGTCCTCCAAAAGGTGAGTGCCCCAACCTGCTCTTTAGCACTGCAGCCCGGGGCGCAGCCCCAGAGAGCAGCAGGGAGGTTGACCCAAAATGGGGAGCTGGGAATGGAAGGGGGTGCTGGTGGGATGGGTCCTGCGCAGCTCTCACTATGGGGCAGCCCCAAAGGGCAGCAGGGAGGCTGGCACTGTGGGGTGCTGGGGAGGGAAAGGGGCTCTGGGGGGGTCAGATCCTGCTCGGCACTCACCATGGAGCCGGCTCTCCACACCAGCAGGGTCACTGTGCTTCGGTGCTGCTTCAGCAGGGTGATGGCAGGGTGAGTGATCTCCCGGTACTGGCTCTCAAAGACGATAAAGATGGGTTTCCTGGAAAGCTCCAGCAGCCTCCAGAGCCCTTCCCTATGAGACAAATGGGTGACAGGATGGTGAGGGACCTGCCAGCCCCTCTCCTCTCCTGTGGGAGCTGCTGCTCTCCTACCTGAAACTGCTGTTGCACCACTCCTGTTCCAGGTATGCAACGGAGAGCACCACGATGAGGCGCCGACACCGGCTGACATTCATGATGAGGTCAGCTGATGGCTCTGTGGGTAAAAAGGGTGTCACGCCCCCAGGCCCTGTGTCACCCCCTGCCCAGCCCTGCCTGGTGCCTACCTGAGTTGGGCAGGATGTTCTGCTCGTCCAGGAAGAGCTTGTAGCCGTGGCGGTTTTCCAGCTGCGGCTTCACAATGAAGTGGATGAACTTTCGGTCATCGGGGGCAGTGGCGTGGGAGACGTAGGCATCGTAGAGCTTCCCATCTGGGGAGATCCACAGAGCAGGGATAACATGGGAAGGGCTGTGTGAGCCCCCAGACTGTGGGAGGCTGTTCCCAGTGGGAACACCTCTGGCTCACCGTTGATCTCCAGCTCTCCGTAGCGGTCCCGGTACCAGAGGAGCACATTCAGGCGGCACTGGACGTAGAGCACAGCCAGGAGCACCAGGAGCACCAGGACCAGGAGGGCTGCCAGTACCGCTGGCACGTGCCCCACCGCCTCTGCCAGGACAGGGAAGGGCACGGTGAGCAGCATACCTGGGTTTGGTGCAGGTTTGCACCTCGGTGTGGGAGAAGCAGCAGGGCTGCACTCTCCTCAATCCCCCCGTGCACCTGGGCTCTCCGTGGGATGCCCCCTCCCTGTCACCAGCAGGTCCCTACCTGCCTGCCGCAGGGTGAAGGTGGCCGTGGCATTGCTGATCCAGCAGGCGAACACCCCAAAATCGGCATCATGGGTGAGGTTGAGCTGCAGGACACTAGCCAGGAGCTGCTCTGAGGAGTTTTGGCCAGACCTGACAGGACATGGAGGGTGCTGTGGGTCGGGCCATGCAGTGACACCCACCAAAAGCAGATGGACAGCTGTCCCCAGGTCAGGCTCCTTACCAGACAGTGTCCTGGCTGCTCCCACTGCCCAGCCACTGCCCATCCTTGCTCCAGGTGGGAATGGGCTGGCAGTGCTCGGTGCCCACCCAGCGCACGGTGCAGTTCAGCTCAACCCGGCTCCCCAGCACCAGCTCCAGCGTCTCATTGGCAGCCGGCACCAGGATTTCAGGGGGCACGCTGCAAAGGTCTGGGGGCACAGAGGGGAGCAGGTTTGGATGGGAAAGCTGATCCAGCTCCCCCCAGGCCACATGACTGCTGTAGCCATCCCGGAAAAACAAGCTCTGCCTTGGGGGTCTGTCAGTGAGTGGTGTTCGTGGCTCTTTAGCAACATACTGAGCCGGTTTGGGGGCTGGGAAGGACCCTTGGCATCCTAAGAGGTGGTACCAGAGCAGGACCCCCAGCTGAGCTCGCACAGGGGGAGAACTGGGATTTCTCCTACCTGCCATGGCGCGCTCAGGTGACAGGCGCGGGCGCTGCCAGCATCTCACACCAGCGTCTTCCGGGGCGGACAAAGTCCGCCTGCCGCCGCCACAGGGCGGGCTGGGCCTGGGACAGACCAGGAGTAGCTCCGTGAGTGCTGGCACAGGGAGGGCCTGGCACCCCATCGGCCCCTGCAGCGATTCTGACTGGGGGTGGTGGGTGCTGCTCTGCGGTAAAGCCGAAGCCACGTCCCACTCACAGCCTGGTGGCCACTGTGTCACCTGCCCTCCCTGCACTGACTCCCAGCCTGGCTTTCCCAACTGTGAATTTTTGCGTGGGAGGTGATTAATGACCAGCTGGGGGTTGCAGGATTTAAAAAAATGTAGCTTCAGCCCAAATCCAAAACCAAGGTGGGGAAATAAGCTCAGCTGTGGGAAACCACAGCTTTGGGGGTCTCAGTGGTACCTCCTTCACCTGCCAAGCCCCCTGCCTGGGCTGCAGAGCTGCCTCCAGCCTGACATGCCCTTAAACCTGCTAATTACCAGCGGTGTGGTTTGTTTATGGAAACGCAGCCTCCCACCTGGAGAGCTCCCCAGCGGGTGCCGCGTTCCCGGCGTGTTGGGAGCCTCGGCGCGTTGCTACCCCGTGGCTGTGCCCAGGGACTGGCACAGTTGCAGAGCATTCCAGGCAAGCAGGGAGCACAGGGATGGCACACAGGGACCTCCTAGTTGGCATCACCGGTGGTGTCACTGCGATGGCCCCGTGGAAAGAGGCGGATACTGGGAGCAGAGCCCAGCAAGGCCAGGCTCCTCTATCCCCACACACCGGATGCGGGTGATGCGGGTGCTGGGGCTGAGGTGGGAGTCTCAGGGACGTCACGGTGCCTGTGTTTCCATGGTAAACACTCGGCCTAACTCTGGGAGTCAGGAGGGGTGAAAGCCTCTCCCAGGGCTCCTCTTTGCTGTGGAGCTTCAGCACTCCTGGCTGCGCCCTGATTGTGGGTGGGAGCAGGGCTGGTCCCCTCGTGTTGGTTGGTATGGAGTGGAAGGGGAGGTCTGTGGTACTGCCTGGCTTGGAGCAGGGATGCAGGCACGGTGCTTCCCTCTGGAGCAGCCTAGTGCCGGGCGTGGGTGAAACCAGGGATCAAGGTACGCGAGAGACGCCCGTAGGTGTTCAGCTTGACCAGCTGGAAGTGATTTATACCTAAAAGATTAACTGAGTGTCTCCATGGCCAGGGAAGGAAGAGAATGGGATGGAGACAAGCCAGCCCACCTGGATTTCACATGGAGAAAGGGTAGGAGATGCTCCTGAGCATGGCATGGGGCTGTCTCTGCCTGGTGTGATGCTCCAGCTTTGCTCCTGGATGGGTCACTCCTAAGCCATTTCCTCTGACGGCCGGAATAAGGAAGCTCCGACAAGCTGCAGCCTGGCCAGGGGCTGTGTGGAGGCCCCAAAATCCCCGGACCCTTTGCTCCAGGGAAGGACAGTGCTGGATGGCAGGAAGGGGGTTCTGGGGCTGCCTAGGGCCAGGGAGGGAGGAGCACTGGCTAACGGGCAGCAGTGGCTCCCATTTCCCACATCCTGGTGTGGGGACACCCCGGATTTGAGGCAGAGGACCATGTGGAGGTTGTGGGGTGGTGAATGATGGCTGGGAGAAGCGTTCCCTGGAGTGCGGCCATGGGGAAAGCGAGCAGGGCAGGGAGGCACCGTGGCCAGGGAGTTGTGGGGTGGGTGTGCCGAGGCAGCGAGCAGGATGGAGAGTGAAGGAGAGCCAGAACGGGAATGTGCAGGGAACGGGGTGAAGGTGAAACCCTGCTGACCTCATCTGAGGCGGCTTCAGCATGGAAAGAAAAGCAGAACAGAGCTGCATTTACCTTTGGAGCTTCCCCAGCCGCAGGCTTCCTGCTCGTCGCCTCCCGCTTGAGCCGACCCGACTGGCCGGATCAGGGCTTGGAATTTCTCTCTCTCTTTTTTTTTTTTCCTTTCTCTTTTAATAGTTTATCTATTTCTCCTCCCAGTTCAGCCCCTGCCCTCGGCCAGGCGCTCCCGCTGCCCCAATCCCCGGGCGCCAGGCCCGTGGGAAGGACTGGCTGTGCCTCCCTCCCACTGCTCCACCTCCACCTGAACCTGCGGGGGAAGAGTTCAACAACTCCGGCTTCAGGGGAGGGGAAAAGAGAAGGGAAAAGAGGAGTGGGACAGCAGCACATCCAGCAGCTGTCACAAGGCTTCGGGGTCAAGGTGGAGCTCCCTGGTTTTCCAGGCTGGAAGCACCCACAGAGGTATCAGGGCAAGAAGAAGCCTGCCATCAGTTTGTTTCCTTCTCCTCCCTTTCCTCCTCTCTGTGCCTTTAGAGCCTTTTTGCCAGATCAAGCTGGTGCTGGAGGTGGTTGCTCCAGCTGGCGCTGGCTGTGGGGAGCCAGATCCAGCCGTGGCCACTGGTGGAGAGCAGATATCCCCTGTGCTAATTACCATGGAGGTGATTACAGCCTCGGCACGCCCCAGGCATGGACGTGGTTACAGCAGCACCGGCAGCCCCTGGACAAACACCAGCCTGAGCTGCAAAAGCATCAACCAGCACGTGATTTGAGGCCAAAAAAGGGAAGAAGAGGGCCACGGGTGCAGTATATGTATTTATGTATTTTCAAATATATCTATATATCGATAGTATTATATTTAATAACACATAACTATATGTAGATTTATATTGAATAACTATGTATATATAAATAAATAGGTACAGGTCACAGATAGGCCTCTGAGCCTGTTCCCATGGAGAAACACCCTGACTCTGACTCCTTGTTGTTTAGGATATAAGCTACCAGTGCTGTTGGCTTGTTGTGGGAGGGAAAGAGACAGATCCCTGTTGGCATCTCTGGGGAGAATCCTCTACTCCTGGGTCCCACAGCCACTGGCTGTGTGTGTTTTGGAGCAGCCTTTTTTGAGGGCTGCACACTTCTCATGGACACTGTGAAAATCCAGTGTAAATGTGTTGTATTTGCAGGATGGTGAAGGATTGCATGGAAGAAGCCCAGGTCCTGGGGATGGTAGGGGTGTGGGAAGGCTTGGGAGCAAACCAGGAGCCGATAAGATCTTTCTTGTCCATCAAGGTTATCCCTGTGGTAAGTTACATGGAGGAGCAGATCCAGTTTTTGCCACAATGGTGCAAAAATAGGACAAGCCTGAGGGCTCAGCAAGCTCCTTACCATTCCCTATGGGGTTGTTAGCGGCTTTCCGTGCTCTTGGGAACAAAGTTCTGAGGCTGAGTTAACCCTGGTGCCTTTCATTGCAGTCCTGACTGGAATGTGTCACCTCCAGGGCACAGCCCCCAGGAATGACACCTTGGGAAGCGTCTGTGGCGGGATCCTCATGGGACACAGGCAGTGCCAGGGTGCTGTCCAGCCAGGTTGGGGTCACTATGGGTGGGAAAGGAGGGGGCTGTCCCTCAGTTCTGCCTCTGGGATCCCCTGTCAGAGACTCTTGAGCTGTGGCACCTGTCCAGTGCCCATTCCTGCTGCAGACAAACTCATTCTGTCTGGAGCAAGGCAGCCAGCCAGTAGTGATGTCTCTAAAGGAAAAGGTGGGATAACCCTATCATTTGGGATTTGCTGTGTTTTCCCCATTTCCCCCATGTATTTCCATTATCCTGGCACATTTACCAGGCTGTGTTCCCACTGTGCATGGCCAAGTCCCGGTGTCCCACCAGCCAGCTCCCACACAGCTCTGAGTGGGCACTGCAGCTGCTACCTGCTGTGATTGTCCTCACTAAGACAAGGAAAGGTTTTGGGGGATGATTGGGGATGGCAGAGGAGGAAGGCAGGAGCAATACCAGGCAGCGTGTCCACATGGGTGTTGTATTTATATACCAATGGCTGGCGGAGGCTGAGCCAGGAGCAGCTCTGAGACCTGGCTGGGCCTGGAGCTAAACGCGAGATAACAACGGCATTTCCCCAAAGACGGTGGAGCTGCGTCCATGGAGACAGCAGGGCAGAGCTGCAGCCATGTGGGAGTCGTGCCGGGGAGGAGGTTGGTGGAAGAGGGACTCAAGTTCCCCACGGGTGCGGCAGCGAGGAGGTCACGGAAGGCAGTGGAAAAAGAGGCCAAAGTGCAACAAAAGGGCTGGAGAGGGAGGCTGGAACGAGGTAAGTGGTGTTTCCTGTGCTTAAGGAAGTGAGTGACAAGGACCCAGGTGATCTCTTCCAGCACAGCATCTGGGTGCTGCCCCTGGGCTTGTCCCCAGCGCCGGGCTCTGTCCCAGCCACTCCCCATGCCGGGGAGACACATCCCGGCCCTGCCACAGCATCATTCCTTCCCGAGTCAGAAAGCAGCTGCTCCTGTGAAGCCACTGTCTTGTCATCACTTCCCAGCTCAAGTCCAGCTCAGTCCCAGGTGGGACATGTGGCACTGTGTCGTGGGGTTCATCCAGCACCCCTAGCACTGCCAGGCTGGGAAAGGGGCTCGAGTCTGTGTTCTCCTTCTCCTTGGAGAGCGGTGGCTACACCTCAGTGGAGTATTCTGTCGTGCTGGGGAGAGAGGAGAGAGGTGTTGGGAAGGGAACTGTCTGAGTTGGGAGGTGTGGAAAAACACTGCAAGTAGGAACAGGGCCTCTTCCCCAAAATAGACTGAGAAAGAATGACAGGCTGTTTGTGGGAAAGCCCTGCTTGTGGGAAATCCCAGTCAGTAGGAAGGCAGAGATGGAAAGCTGTGACAGTGTGGTATTGTGTTGGTTTTGCATGGCCTGGTTTTTGGTACTGTGGGGGCACAGAGGTGGCTTCTGTGAGAAGCTGCTGGAAGCTTCCACCATGTCTGGCAGAGCCAATTCCAGGATGGCTCTGATAATGGACATGCTGCTGGCCAAGGCTGGGCCAATTAGAGATGGAGATGTTGATAATGTATTTAAGAAGAAAATCAAAACAACAAGGGGCACAGTTTTTTTTTTTGCTAGCCATAGAAGAGGAGGACGTGAGAACATGTGAGGGAAACAAGATGCAGACACCAAGGTCAGTGCAGAAGGAGAGGGAAAAGCTGCTCCAGGCGCTGGAGCTGAGATTCCTCTGCAGGCCGTGGTGAGACCATGGTGAAGCAGCTGTGCCCCTGCAGCCCATGGCGATCCTCGGGGGATGCAGAAAGCCACCTGAAGCCTGTGGGGGAGATGAGCATGTGGGTGCCTGGAGGAGGCTGTGATCCAGTGGGAGACCTGTTGGAGAGAGGGGGCCCTGCTTCCCGGCTGGAGAAGCCTGTCCTTGAAGGACTGACCCTGTGGAAGAGTGACCCACACCACAGCAGCTTTTGGCCTGTGTGCCCAAGGGAGGGACTCACGTTGCAGCAGTTTTGGGAGGATTCCTGCTCGTGAGTTTTGAGCCATGGTGGAGAGGATTGCAGAGAACTCTCTCCTGTGGGAAGGGACCCCATGGTATAGCAGAGGAAGGACTCCTCTCCCTGAGCAGTGGAAGAAAACCTTGGGTGATGAACTGACCAAAACCCCCGTGCTCTGTCCCCTGCATTGTCGGTGGGAAGGAGGGAAGGGTTGGGGGAAGCAAAGGTGTTTTTAAGAGCTTTTACTTCTCATTATGGCCCTCTGATTTTGTTAATAATAAATTCACTTTGTACTTCTAAGTTGAGCCTGTTTTGCCCTTGGAGTGTTTTCTCCTGGTCCTTATCTGAACTCATGAACCCTTTGTTAATTTTTTCTCTCCTCTGCACAGCTATTGCAGGGGGAGGGTGAGTGAGTGGCTTTTGTGGGTGCCTGGAGTTTGGCCGGTGTTAAACCACTATGCTGGTTGAAAGATGTTAGTGGGGGTGTGTATTTTATTTGCCATCTGTTGGAGGTGGGGCAATTATCTTCTGTTAATTGGGCAGTTTCCTTTATCTCTTCCACAACCAATCCTCCCTCCAGGAGATATCCTCTGTTCATGGGTCATTGAATCTCACTGCATGACTGATAAAATTACAGCATCCCACTGTGAGAAGCTCTGCCCAGAGGGAGGAGCCAACCATTCTTCCCTGGATATAATCTGAGATTTAGAACACCACAGCAACTTTTTCCCACTGGATTCCCAGAGGAGCAGCTGTCTTCTCCACTGGATTCCCAGAGGAAGACCATGCCTCTTTACACCACCACTGAACCTTCAGAGGAAAACTCCACCCTGACCCACAGGGTGTCAGGTTGTATTTGGACTCTGTCAGTGGTTTGTTTTCCTGTTTGTACTATTGTATTTGTATTTTTAATTTTCCTAGTAAAGAACTTTTATTCCTATTCCAATATCTTTGCCTGCGAGCCTTTTGATTTCAAAATCATAATAATTCAGAGGGAGGGGGTTTACGTATTCCATTTCAAGGAAGGCTCCCGCATTCCTTAGCAGACACCTGTCTTTTCAAACCAAGACATGAGTATTTCCTGAACCCTGCAATCTGCTCCCATCAGGATTATGGGTGGCAGGGTGGCCATGGAGAGGGGTCAGGCTGAGCCCTCCCCAGAGCAGGGCTTAGTCAGTATGGGACAGCAGCACTGGGGCAGCTACAATGGTTCTGTTTCCTACTGAAATACTTAATCCTTTTTCTTTAAACAAAGTTTAGATGGAAAACCTGGACCAAGTCCTTCCCTGGGCAAAATCACTTCTTCTTTTAACTTTGAGCTTTTCTTTTTTTCTAAAGGAAAAGAGGCTTCAGAGCAGACAGATCCTGAAACCTGACAACCCCTGGCCCCTTCCAGGGCATCACCCACCTGAGTTCATTACGGAGATTGCTGTGTTTTTCTGTCAGAATTTTATTCTTGACCTTCTGGGGGACATCGGGGATGTACCAGGCTGCGATCAGCTTCACGCACAGAGCCACATGCTGTGGGAAGCAAGGCAGTCAGGGCACGAGGTACAGATCTAACCCCTTTCCCAGCCCTCTCCTGCCTCCCTGGGTGCTCACCTCGAAGAGGATGAGGAAGGCGAGCCGGGCTGCGAAGATGTGCCAGAACTGGACGGTGTAGGTGTAGTCATCAGCATTCCGGTAATCCCGGTACCTGCAGCACAGCTCCGTCGCTGCCAGCCCAAGCCATGCCATTCTGGCCTGTATGTCACGGTGAGGGACAGGGGGCTGCTCTTACCTGCACTCCTTGATCTGCTCCCCTTTAAATTCTGGCAGCACCTTGGTGTGGGGCTCGAAGTCCTGGATGTGGAATACGGAGAGGCTGTTGTTGATGTACCCGGTGGAGCAGCTGTGGGGAAGGACCGGGTTGAGCATGGATTGTACCTCCTGTTCTGGGGAAAGCAGAACCCACCTGGGGCTCTCACTGCCCACTTTCACAAAGCCTGGTGGAAGTGGAGGGCTCAGAGGCTTCTGTCCAGTTTGAGTGAACTGGGTCAGTCAGCCAAGGCTTGGAGAAACAGGGAGGGCAGGAGAGAGCATATGCCTGCATCCTGGGAATCCTGTAGCTCTCCAATGTTACACGCTGCCCTTCACCACAGGGATGATGTGATGATGCCATTTGGGAATGTTCCCCTGTTCCCCTTTCCCTCCCACCCTGCTTTGGGGGACAGCTCAACTGTCTTGTGCTCCTGCAGTGGTGGCACTGAGGCAGAAGAGGACACGGCTGTGGGGACAGAGCTGTGAGGATGCTGTGGGCAGGAACTGTCTCAGAACTGAACTCACTCCATGCTGGTGTGGTTCTCCCTCATGCAGGGGCTGTACATGTACTTGTAGACCTGCACAGGGATGAAGTCGGAGGTGATGGCGATCACCAGCCCGTTCCCAATGACAGCCAGGATGCCAATGGCCTCTAGGACCTGCAGCCAGATCCCTGTGGAAGAGGAGCAGCCAGTGAGGTCCCTCTGGCAGCTCACTGCTACCATTCCAGCTCAGGGACAGCTTTAGCATGGCCAGGTCAAGGAAGGAGCCTCCAAGCTGCATTTTGGCCTCTGGCAGAGTCTGAAGCAGCTTGTCCTTCTCTGACTGATGGCTCTCCCTGTGCCTTGTCCCACGGCCATGCTTAGGGGCTCAGCCTGGTGCTGGCAGGACCCCTCTCACCAATGTCCTTGGCCTTCCTGGGCACCATGCGCCGGCGCAGCCGCATCATCTTGATGGCGTCCATGTGGATCTCGATGACGTTGTTGATGAGGGCCAGCAGCGGGGCCAGGGGAAAGGCTGCCACGAAGATGGTGGTGAAGCTGTACTGGATCACTGTGGAGGAGCAAACGCCAGGTGCTGGTGTGAAGCCACGGCAGAGGGGACATCTCTCTCTGCTTGGGTTTGTCCTGCTTTGTGGTTTGGGTCAGAGGGATTTGCAGGGGTGGAAGGGGGGAGAGCCACATCTTGGGGATGCCCAGCTCGCACAGGGCTGTCAGAGAGTGGGATCTGTGGGGATAGTTGAGCCAGCCAGGCACAGGCACACCCTGGGGTTACAGCTGGGGCCCAGGAAGGAGAGGAAGGTCTGAGGCAGGGCCAAAGGCTAGCACAGTTGCTTGCCCTCAGTTTTGGGAATGATCTTGGTGTCCCAGGGCTCTCAGAGTGGGGCTGGGTGTGGAGCTGTGGCTCCTTGCCTGTATGGACTCCCTAGCATCCATCACTCCCCAGCCAAGGAGTGCACATGGATCTGCCCCATGTACCTATCTCCAAGTACTCGTTGAACAAGCTGAAGACGTTGACCTCGTTGAGTTCATAGTTATTCAGCCACTGCCTTTTGCATGGGTCCTCTGCCTCCTCCTCCTCTCCTAACATCACACTTCTCTTCTTGGGGTGCTTTTTCTTCTTCCGTAGCTGATGGGATATCAAGCTGCAGTGGGAGAGAGGGATTTGTGTGGCTGCCTGCAGGGCTGGGCTGCTTCCAGCACATCCCTAGAGGAAGGGGAAAAGGAAGAAGACCAGGATTCCTCTCCCTGTCATGGTCAGTGTGGGAAGCTTACGGGATGAGATACTCCATGATGTTGCTGATGGTCTGCTTGAGCACCATGATGACAGCCATCTGGATGAAGAGGTCGGTGATGCAGCCGCTAGGGTGGCACTGGAGGGGACAACAAGACAGGGGTTGTGCCCTGCAAGCAGGGTGGGGGGGCCTCAGGGCCCCTTTGGCAGGTGCTATGGGAGAAAGCTGAGCTTCCCAGAGGCTCCCTGGGCAGTAGGGAAGGGAACAGAAGGAGTTGTTTGTGGGGTCAGAGAGTGGGTGCCTCACCTCCTCCAGCCTCCAGTGACCAGCGATGCGCACGTAGTGCCCTGGGTGGCCATTGATCCTGAGCAAGGAAGCAACAGTGATACCCCTGGGATCATGGCCCTTCTGAGTCCCAAATGGGGTCCCTGTGCCTGGTGGGGAGGGCAGAGGGGCTGGGCTGTCCATACACCCTGAGGAGAGCCAGGAACACCCATCCCAAGCCCTGGCTGCCCTGTGTTCTCTACTCACCGTCCCAGGAAGAAGGCAATGTAGATGAGCGAGGAGAAGTTTGTGAAGAACTGAAAGAGGAAGATCTTCACGGTGAAGTTGTTCTCCCGCTGGGAGAAGGTCCGTGGTTTCTCTAGGAAAGGGAGCAATGCCCGGGGGCTTGGTCATAGAGCAGTGGGACTTTGCCCTTCTCCCCCATGGGTGCCACCACAGCTCTGAAGGTCCAAAGGGCATCTGCCACTCATGAAGGCTCTGCCCTCCACCTGAGCCTTCTGATGGTGGTGAGGCCACCCAAGCAGGGAGGTCCCTCAGAGCCATGAGCTGAGGGAGAAGGGGCCTTAGAGCTGAGAGGAAATACATGTTGTGACCTGTCCTAGACCTGTCCCTGCAAAGCTGGCTGTGGGACAGCATGTGGGCCACAGGTGAGTGTGTGCCGGGGTGCTGCTGGCCTCCCTGTCTGGAGCTGCCTGGGAACTGCCTTGTGCTGGTGTAGGGAGGGAAGGGGATGTGAGGCTGGCTGTGCCCAGAGACAAAAGGGTGCTGCAGGTGGGACACAGCCCATTTCCCTTACCCAGGTCACAGAGGAAGAGGGCCACGTGCCAGTTGACCTGCAGGACAGAGGGATACGATGAGAGGGGGGGGTTGGCCATGGAGAAATCCTGCCATGCACGCCGCGTGGCTCCTCACCTTGGTCATGATGACGATGGTGATGTAGTGCAGCACGGCCCCCGTCATCACAGCAATGATGTCGGCGTGCTTGCTCAGCAGGCTCACTTTGCTCTGTGTGAACAGAGCCATGGCCACCGCCCGGTAGATGACAAGGGCATGGGCAATGCCGATCAGCACCATGATCTGTGGAGAGGGAGACGAGGGGTCAGAAGCCACCGAGGGCACTGCTCCATCGCTCCTGATGGTCCCCTCAGGAGGGCCTTGGAGGTGGCCTCAAAGGCAAACCAGCACCCCTCGGTGGAGGCCGACAAGTTTGTGAGGTGGGTGTAGTGATGGGAGAGGGAGTAACAGGTACAAACTGAAAGAGGGGAAATTTAGGCTGGATACTAGGAAGAATTCTTCCCTGTGAAGGTGGGGAGATACTGGAACAGGCTCCCCAGAGATGTTGTGAATGCCCCAACGCTGGCAGTGTTCAAGGCCAGGTGGGACAAGGTCTTGAACAACCTGGAGTAGTGGGAGGTGTCCCTGCCCATGGCACGGGGCTTGGGACCAAATAAGGTCCCTTCCAACCCTTAACATTCTGTGATTTCAGGATTCTATGTCTCCACCTAAACCAGTCTCCACTGACACACAGCAGGCACTAGTGCATTGGGATTTGCCTCTTACTGCTTTCCGTGTCACTGCCTTGATCCTCACTGCAAGAGCAGAGCCTTCAGCCCATGTCCCCAAAGGGTGGGTGGCCCCTGCCATCAGCACAGGGTGAGCATGGGGAAGCCCCAGGATCATTGTGATGGGCATGGAACTGATCTGTGCCTTTGCTCCTTTGGTCCATGTGCCCTCAAACCAAACATTCCCGTTGTCACCTGGCACGTACCATCAGCAGGGCCAAGATGAGGACGATGGTGCTGCGGAAGTAGGAGTGCTGGTACAGCCGGGGTTCGTGCTGTGGGTTATTGATCAGCTGAAGAGCCAGCTCCTCCTTAAAAATATATATATTAAAGTTAAAAATGGGAAAGAAAGGCCCCAGCAGTACTTTGTGCCCCTTGTGTCAGTGGACATATGGGATGAGCAGTGCTGGAGGAGGACAGGGGTGAGCACTCAATCCACAAGAGCATGCCCAAGCCTGATTGAGTTCAGTCTGGGCAAGGAACCCCTCTGATATGTCTTTTATACACCCAAGTGACTCCTGCCCTGAAAGGGGAAGCACCAACACTAAAGATTATGTCCTCACCTCTTCCTCATCCCACCCGTACAGGTCCCAGCTGGTGGCCACATTGGCTCTCTCCCTCTTCCACAGCTCCAGGAATACAGTGGCTGGATTGGGAAGGAGAAAGTGCAGTGACACTTAGGAATGGCTCTGAATGCCACTCCTCTGTCTCCCAGAGAGTGACATCACATCCAACCTGATGGCAAAGCAGCCTGGACTGCCCATGGACAGGCAGTCCCCTCTGCGCCTTGGTGACCTGGAAGGGCCCTGGACAGGCAGCGGTGAGGGAGCAGGAATGGTGCAGGTGAGCTTTCACTGGCCTGGTCTAGTGTGTCCATAGGGAATTTGGGATAAGTCACTTTCAGGTGGAATGGGTGTCCTGCACTGCACCCTGGCAAGGCTACACCTCTCCAACCCAATTCTACCCACCCCTTATGTTAATTGGATGGACACTCCTGATTGTGTCCCTGTGTGACCCAGCCCAGGGACACACTCAGGACTGTGCCGTGGCTTCACAGGTGGGACACCTGGCCCGCTCCCGAGGTGGCTGGTCAGGGAACGGGCTGTGGAAACACCAGATGAGTGTGTAACTAAGGCAGTGATGGCATCCCATCATCCCACAGCAAATCCCACCCACGAGGCCCTGCAATTTGGGAAGGTGGAGGAGGAGGCTGGAGGCCACTCCTTCCTGTGGTTGTGGCCATTTATAGGCAGCTGCCAGAAAATTGCTGGGTGCCTTTGGGGAGGCTATGCTGAGCAGAAGCTTCAGGTAGGACAAGCTTTAGGTACGGAATATTTGGGGAGCTGGAGGATATCACCAGAGTGGTTTTGTCTCTTGCAGTATCTGGAAGGGGAGCTGTAGGCTCTGGAAGCAGAGGAGATATAAACCCACCCCAAAGGGTGAAGCTACGTTGGTGTTCCTTTTTCCACCTTCTGCTCCCTCTCCCAACCACATGTGCGGGGCACTCAGGCATGGACACCTACCCCAGATGGCCATGAACATGGCAAACACCACTGTGGCCTCATTATCAATCATGTGAGTGACCTGGAAGAGATGAAGGAAGAGTGTGATGGGGCACTGAGGTGCAGGGGCTGTGGTACCTCGGGGTCTTGGCATTTTTGTCTCCCCTGACACAGGTAAAGGTGCTACAGGAGGGCAAAACACAGGAAGGTGATGGACACTGGGGCTTGTAACTGGTAAAATATTCCATGGTGGTGATGGAGATGGTGATCTGGGGTGGGGCTTCTTTTTAGTGGTGTGGGAGCAGCATGAGCTGGGAGTGTTTGCCCATCCTTTACCTTGAGCCTGCCCTGGAAAGGGGGTTCCCTACCTTGGCATAGGTGCAGGTGTCAGCGAGGACCCAAAACGAGCAATTCTGGTCACAGAGCGGGCACATGATGGTGTTGTTGGCATCACAGATCTCCTTGCTGGAAGAAAGGAGAAGAAAAGGCAAGGGGGACAAGGGTGCCTCAGAGCCACCTGCAGAGCTGGATGGGATGTGCATTTGGCATTCCCAAGGGCCTTACCTCACCTGGCTGGAACTGAAAACAGTAGCCCCAGCTGCGACGGTTGCCAGCCCGGCCAGGGCAGCAAAAATCAGCAGGTAGGTGTACCAGCCCAGCCAGGCAAAGTACAAGGCCACCTTCTCTCCAAAATAGCACCTAGGAGAAAAGGTGAGGTGGGAGTTGCAGTCAGAAAGGAGATCAGATTTTGGGAGTCACTAGAAAATGCCCGTGGTGGCAGTATCTCAGTTTTTATGGTGTGGGGAGTAGATTGGAGTCATGGATAAGGAATTAACCTACTGACTGAGGGACTGGGGGTCCTGTATCCTGTGCCAGCTGTCAGAGGTACACCTGTATTTTAAGATCTTCCCTCTCTCCCAGGGCCCCCTGGCAGGTTTATGAAGTAACACGTTCTTTTTGCCTTCCCGCCCCTGCCCACAGAGTTAGTTTGCAAAAACAAGAGCCGTGCTCTCTCCTGGGATTTCATGTGGTTGTAGGAGCCCCATGTTGCCTTTACCGCCCCGAGTTCAGCCTCAGGCTGGCTATGCAGCACTGATGCTCCATTCCCACCTCTCCTGCCTTCTGAATGTGGCTGAAAACCAAACAGGTTCATTACAGTCCTCACAGACATGGGGGTTGTTTCATGCTGCAGGATTAGCAGATGGAATTTGGAGCCACAGGGATAACCCTCAGGCTAAGAGCTTTGGATGCTGCAGAGGCAGCCCAGTGCTTGTGAGAAGAGCCAGGTTCAAACTAATGATTTTTAAGACAATGCAGGAGCCTGGCAAAGGGCATCGAGCTCTCTGGGTTTCAGGTGGGACCTCTAGGTTAGAAAGATCTGCCTCTTGTTGCCTGTATTACCTGATCTCCTCAATTGGCTGTTCCTTAAATAGAACTCTCCAGCGAGCCCACTTCTTCTTTAGTATTTCCCTTATCTCTTCTTTCTGGAGAGCAGAGAAGTTGGTTGGATGCAGGAACACCAGGGCACCCTTAATGTCCTGCCCAGCTCCAAAACAGCTGCCAGGAGCTTTGCCATGTCCTTCACCCAGTGAGCTCCTGGTGCAGCCCCAGTCACCCACAGGTCTCCCCCACCCCATCCTCCTCTTCCATCTCCCCTGGATTTTCCTCCCAGGCACTGTGTGCTCAGCCTCACCTTGTGCAGGGGAAATGCTGCCTCAAACACCTTCTTCTTCATCAGGTCATGCAGCTTCTCTGGGAGCAGAGCAGAAGAGACCGGGTTAGACTTAGGATTTTGGGGAGACAGAGCAGAGGAACTGGTGGTTCCTGCTGTCCAAATCTCCCAGCCTCTGGATGCAGCAGCAAATTGACTTGTCTGAGCTCCCCCCTTTTCTATTCTCCCCAGGATGGCAAGGCAGCTGGGATGCCAATGACCAGGATTCTTGGGCAGGATCCTTCCTGCAGGTCCAGGTTGAACATCACCCCTGTGATCCTCATTCCCTTACCTAAGTCAGACGTCACAGTGTTCTGCAGGATGAAGTGCACGATCCGTATCCTAAACAAGGAGAAACTCTGCTTAAAGCCTGCTCTGGGATACAGACTTGTGTTGTGTGGCTCAGGAAAACAGGGCAGAGGAGGGAGAAGTGTGCACTAAGATCCAGGGAAGCAAGGGAGGGAGAAATGTGGGCAGTGAGAAGCCATCAGCTTTGCACGTGGGAGGTGAAGAATGGTTCTGTGGAAAGTGAAAATCCTGGCACAGTTGTGAACTGAGCTGGAAAATGGATGCTGGTGTGGAGAACAGTGAGTGCAGGAGACTGGAAATCAGCTCAGCACCCACCTGGTGGTCACTGGGATGTCATGGTAGGCACTGGAGTTTTGCTGCCTGCTGTTGGGGTTCTTCAGGAGACACTGGTATTTCCAGAAGATGTGCTGCGGGGCATGGACTCCATAAAAGAGCTTTGTGTCCTCAATTTTCTGGTGAGAGGAAGAGAGGGGTTGTTAAAACAGAACCAGAGAGGCAGGGAAGGGCCAGAGCTGGAAGGCCAGGGGGCTGTGTGAGTCCTGGGGCTGGGGTATTTCTCTGCTGATTGAGCAAGTGGGTTATTTTCCTGCTCTGATGTGGTGAACAGCTCAATGGTTCAGACCTCTTCCATTTTCTGGGATGCAGGAGCCCAAGTCAGGCCAAGTATCTGCTGCCTTTTCCTCCCAGAGCCCCTCACCTTGATAGTGAAGCCCTTCTTGCTCAGCTCATCCAGGAACTTCTTCCTCTTGATCTCTTTCTCACTGCCCATTTCGTGGATGTCACTCACCAGGACAAAATCCCACTTCTCTTCATTCTGCCCACAAAACCAGCAGGGAATTATTAGGATGGAAAGCTGAGACTCTCCTTCCCAGCTCCAGCCTCTTGGAGGTTTGGACCCTCATTGTGGCTGTGTAGAGGGGAGCTGGGAATGAGCAAGGGAAATGGGGCTTTTCTCTCTCTCTGAGCTGGGCTGGACTTGCTGCAGATGCAGAAGGAGCAGAGCTTACCGGGGAGGCAAAGGAGTCCGTGTCCTCAGCAGGAAATTCCCTGAAGGGAGTCAGCAGAATTTCATCCTGGTGAAAAGAAAACCAGTGGAGAGAAGGCTTCAGCAGGCTCCCTGGGAGATGCCATGTTTTCCTCTTCCAGCACCCTCCAAGAGTTGCCCAGGGAGGAAGGTAAGAACAGTGTGAAACTTCCTCCCATATACACCTGATCACCAGTTTGGGGTCTTGCCAAGCCATCCAGGGGTTTGTGCTTAGGAATGCTGCAGGGACTGCTGCCCTGGGAGGGTGTGCAGCCTCCCCTAGAACTCATTGTGCCCAAGGGTGCCCTGGGGCTGTGAGGGATCTGGACCAGGAGAAAAAACCTTTCTCAGCTCTCTCACCTGACGCCCCGACATCAGTACTGGGGAAGTGTTCACCTTTCACCCTTTCTCTTCATGCTAGAATGGATTTTACAGCCTTTAATCAGCCTTTTCCATTTGTCAGTTGTTCCTGTCAGACAGGGCACTGTTGGCTTTTTGGGGAGGGTGGGGAATGTACTTTTAAATTCCAGTAAAGAGAGAGTGGAGCATGGACACTTGGAGGCTGGAACAACCCTGCTAAAACAGGTGAAAAAAGTCAAAGTCCTTGGAAAGCATGTTGGATGCTTCAGGCTGCAGCCAAGGGACAGAGTGGGGAGGATGAGCTGCTGATCATAAAATCATAGAATATCCCAAGTTGGAAGGGACTCTTAAGGATAATTGAATCCAGCTCCTGGCCCTGCATAGGACCACCCCAAGCGTCCATGTGCCTAACAGTGTTGTCCAACACTGCTTGAACTCTGGCTTTTGCCTGTTCCCCTCCTGTGTGTGAGTGGCTCTGGAGAGAACAGCTGTGCAGCTCCCACCTTCCTGGTTACAGGTAATGAGACTCAGACATCCCAGGGTGCAGGTGTGGGGGAGCACAAAGCAAGCATCATGGAATGGTTTGTGTTGGAAAGGCCCTTCATGCCCATCCAGCCTCCCCCAGGGACACCTTGCAGTAGACCAGGTTGCTCCAGCCTGGCCTTGGACACTTCCAGGGATGGGACAGCCACAGCTTCCCTGTGCACCCTGTGCCAGGGCCTCAGCACCCCCACAGGGAAGGATTTCTTCCCAGTATCCCATCTAACCCTGCTCTCCTTCAGCTTAAGCCATCAGCTGTCCCTGTGGGGGATTTTCCACCCTTTGGTGTGATTTGTGGTGTGTCCCCACAAACAGTGACGCCGCTGTTCCTGAGGGAAGGTGACACAGGACAGCAGCAGGAAGGGGAATGGGAATTCCCAGGGATGGGAATACTGTCACTTGGGGTCACCAGAGACATTGTGACCTAAAAGAGCAGCCAGCTAGACGAGTTCCTCTGGCTGTAATCTTGGCAGCAGAGCTATGGTGGTGCAACTGTGCCCTGATGTAAGATCTGCATCCCGAGCTTTCACTGGAGAATGAGGCCATGGGAGCAGAGAAGCTGGGATGAGGAAAGGGCTGAAATATTCTGCCAGATGTTCGCTCACATGGATCAGCCAAAGCACAAGAGCCATGAGGAGACTGACTGACAAGAATGAGAAGCAGGAAGGCTTGAGAACAGGGATGCTTTCCCCCAGAGGTGCTGTTGTAACAAGAGCCAGAACTTCTCTTGGATAAAAGGTACCCCATTTTATAGCAAGAGGCAGAGTTCTGGTGCTGCCATCTAGTTTGGGGGGCAGGATTGGGTGCAGGAGTTCCCTGTATCCCAGTCTGAGCCCCTCTCTGGGCACAGGGAGGGGAGTGGGAACCTCTCAGGGGTCTGCCCACTGCCAGTGCTCTGATGCTGGCATGGGTCTGGCCTGGCACACTCTGCTGTTGTGTTGGCTCATTCCTGCCTGGCTGGTTTTTTTCAGCCTCCATGTGCACCAGCCTCATCCTGCAGCAATTCCCTGCCAGTGCCACCTGTGATCTTGTGGATGGATGTGGAAGGGAAGCCATCCTTTGGGTATGGGAATGTTTTAGGGTGTTCCTGGTGCCATCTTGGCACACTTTTCCTGCTGCTGCTGTCCCCAGTAAAGCTTAAGATGAGGTGAAGGGACCTGCTGGCATCACACCTTCTGTTCCCAGGTGGCTCCCAACTCCAACACCTGTAGGGACAGTCCTGCTTGAGCATCCGAGCATCCCACCCAGCACATCCCCTTCCTTGGGAAGAGGCTGAGAGGTTACCAAGGTGTGGCTGCTGGGGCTCAGGCTGCCATGCAGGTGCCCAGCTTGCTTTTGGGGCCATATGGAGTGTGTATAGAATCCCAGAGTGCCTTGGGTGGAAGGGACTTTAAATCCTGACCAGTTCCACCTTCTTCCATGGGTATGGACACCTTCCACTGGCCCAGATGGCTCCAAGCCTTCCCAGACTGGCCTTGGATACTTCCAGGGATCGGACAGCCGCAGCTTCTCTAGGAAATCCATTCCAGGGCCCCACCACCCTCACAAGGAAGGATTTCTTCCCAGTATCCCATCTAATCCTGCCCTCTGGCAGTTTGAAGCCATCCCCCTTGTCCTGCTGCTGCAGTTCTTGATGGAAGGCAGGGATGTGTGGGCAGGGATAGCTGCAGCAGGCAGGGACTTAGGATCACTGCTACTCTCACAACTAATTGTTTTTTCCTGGGAATTAGAGAGGCTGTCTTGACAGTGGCTGACAGTGAGATCAGGTGCAGGTAAGGCCACCTGGGCTCTGCAGTTGTTGTATGAACCCTGGGCTCTATCCCTGCTCTCAGGAAGGACAGTTTCAGTTTCTTCCTGCCCTGTGGTTGGAACAGGATGTGGAGGTGCTGCTGTGCAAAGGTGTAAAAGTGATCAGCACAATGGGAAGCAGGAATTTCCATGTTTGAAAAGGGTTTCCATGCCTCCAAGGTGTATCTTTGGTCCTTGTCCCCAGCCAGGTAACCCACTGCCCTGAGTGTTCCTTCTGGGAAGTGGCCACAGGCACCACTGGGCTGTGTGCAGAGTCACCATGTCAGTAACTCAGGAAAAGGACCTGGATAGGATCTGGCATCCTTGTTTTCCTTTTCAGTCATGGATTGGTGTGGGGTTGGGTTGTTCCCGTCACCCACACTGAGATGATCAAATTGATCTTATCTCCAGGATGTTTCTTACACAGCTTCCCTTGGAGCACTTCCACCTTAGCCCGTGGCTTCCTGAGAAGTGGGACAGCCTCTACTTGGAGAGGCAGACATGTACCATTACTACCTGCCCTGAATTTGGAGAGTTTGCCTGGCTTTTCCCAGGGAAAAAACCCACATCTTTTCTTCCAAATTATAAAAGAAAAAGATCACAGCTCCCCTTGCTGTAGTCCAGGTGCTCCTGGAACACCTGGGGCTGTCACCTCTGCAGTGCTCATTCCTAGGTTTACATAAGCTCCATCCATGCCATCCTTCTCTGCTCTGTGCTCTGGCATCTTTGAACTCTGGGACCAACATGTAGGGCCAGTGTGACTCCACTGCACCTTGGGATGGTGCATGGGACTGGCAGCACATCCTGCTTTCCCTGTCATACACTCTGTAGGAATTTTGTACCTCAAAGGCTGAAAGCCTGTGAGTGGTAGAGATTGGAGGTTAGTGTAGCCTGTGTTTCCAAGCCACAGGTGCTCAGAGGTGCTGAAAAGCAGCATCTTGGGAATATTGGGGCAGTTTCTGTTCCTACCTGCATGGTGAAGCGGACAGCCTTCCTTTGTGCCCCTTGGAGCAGATCCCTAAGGAGAGGGCTGGTGTGCAGGATGGCCTGGAGGCTCCTGGGCTCTCTCACGCTGTGGTTTCCTTCCCCAGCTCCTTCGCCCGAGGTCTCAGAGGTCTCATGTGAACCGAGTGGTGCCGTGACTTCCGTGTGGCACTCGTGCCTGCCTTGGGAGGGAGCAGCCTCTGCCAAGCAGTGGGCAGATATCGGGAGGAGGTGAGGGAGCTGCCCTTCACCCTCGCCCAGAGGAGTGGCAAGCCCAGAACCGCCCCGTGCAGGTAACAGTGCTGAGCTCCTCCTGCCAGCTCCAGGGCGCTGCTTTCCCCTCTACCCCTCCTGGTGCCAGGGCTGTGTGTGGTGCCCTGTGACATCCCCAAGAGGCGCCATAAAATGGCCACAAGGAGCTATTAATAGAAGCCCTGGAAAGCTCTAGAAATCTCCTCTTGACACCTCACTGGTTGGTAAAACAGCTGTGGGAGTTGTGTGCTGTATTCTTCCCATGTCTAACAGTGCTGTCAGCCTGGCCTTGAACACTTCCACGGCTTCTCTGGGCAACCTGTGCCAGGGCCTCACCACCCTCACAGGAAGAATTTCTTCCCAATATCCCATCTAACTCTGCCCTCTGGCAGTGGGAAGTCATTCCTCCTTATCCTGTCACTCCAGGCCCTTGTCCAAAGCCCCTTTCCAGCTTTCTTGCAGGCTCTCTTCAGATACTGGACAGGGCAATCAGGTTACCCCAAAGCCTTCTCTTCTCCAGGCTGAGCAATGCCAATCCTCTCAGCCTTTCCTCATGGCAGGGCTGCTCCATCCCTCTGATCAACTTGGTGTCCCTCCTCTGGACTATCTCCAACAGGTTGATGTCCTTCCTGTGCTGGGGCCCCTGGAGCTGGATGCAGAAGTTCAGGTAGGGTCTCACCTGAATCAACTCCCATCTGGACCCATGGCTTGGAACAGAGAATAACTCTTATTATAAAAAGTGAGTGAAAATGTTATGTGTAAGCCAGATCTGTTTTCAAGGGGAGGGGTTGTTGCTTTCATTTACAAATAAGAAGAGTGTTTCCTGGGATAACAGGAGGGTTAATAACTGCTCTGGATTCCCTTGTGCCCTCCAACAGCATTTCTATGGGCTGCTATAAAATAAACCAGGTCCTGGGGTTGGTGATCCAGTTGCGTTCTGCTAGGAAAGGCAGCCAGGATATCCAGAGTGGTGCTCCCAGTTAAACCCCCATCATCCTGTGGCTCTGCCAAGTACCTTAACAGGTGGCAAACCCGACCTGGGTATTATCGGGGGGAAAAACAGAGTTATCTTCCCAATATCCTGCTGTGTGTGAAACCAAGGTGTGGGCAGACCTTTAGCCTTCCAGGGGTGATCCACCTGCTGGGAGCGGAGAACAGGCTGTGTCTCTGGGAGAAAGTGTGTGTTTACCCAGAGAGAGTGAAGCCCTGCTAGGCGGTGCTTTCCACCCGACGCCAGGGCAAAGGCCTTTGCAATGGGAGTGCTGCCATGTTCCGGGGAAATGGGGTTATCTGTGGGAGGAACAGCTGTGGCACTCCTCCCATGCTCCTGCTTCTCCTTCCTGAGAAGGGCTGAGCTCTCCGGAGGAGACCTCCAGCCCAGAGGAGACCTCCAGCCCAGGAGGTCATGCACCCAGCAGCAGTTCCCAAAGCCCATGGATATCACAGCCAGTGGGGAAGGTAAGTCTGTGCCTGCAGGTTGGCTTTGGCTGAGGTATCTCCAGCCCCTGCAGGATCTTTCATGGCACTTGGAGGAGACCATGCTGCTGCTGCTCCTGTTTAGGAGAAATTTGGTTTTGCTTGGGCAGGATTTAGCTGTATTTGCAGCAAGGCAGGTGAGCAAGTTGATGCTGCCCCTCTTCCAGTGCTTCCCTCTCATCCTGTGTTTGCTGCTCTCAGGTGACTAGGGCCAAGTATGGCAGCAGAGGAGCTGAAACTGGGGAGGAAGCCACACAGACCCTTTGAAAGCAGAGGAAATCACTTTTAGGATGTGATCAGCTTTGTGGCTGCTGGGTTGGTCACACCTGAACCCACTGGACTCCAGCCGCTTTGGGCAGTGATTTGACCTGCACTGAGTGTTGGCAGGGAAGCTCCAGGAGCATTCCCTGAGCTGTTAGTCCTGGCTGGATGTGGAGATGGTAATTCCCACCAGAGGAGCCTGCTGAAGGGTTTTGTGTGTGAAACCCCTGTGGCTGGATGGAGGCTGCCTGTCCACCTCCTGCCTGGCAGCAATGCTTTTGGACAGGGAGCTCCTCTTCTGAGGGTGCAAAGGCACTGATTCAGGATGGTGCTAAAATGGCAGTAGATGTCTGTGTTCTCTCAAAGCTGGGAGTGTTTTCACCCAAATCCTGGTCTGTTTGGATCCATGGGTATCCCTGGAGCTATGGTCAATATGTTAGAGCAGAGGATGTGGTTTGGGGTGAATCTCTGCTTGTAATGAAAGTACTGGCTGCTGATTCCAAGCAGGAAAGGCTTGATATTAGGAGAAGGCTCTATCCCCAGAGGGTGGTTGGGCACTGGAACAGGCTCCTCAGGGAATGGTCACAGTCCCAAGGCTGCTGGAGCTCAAGGAGGGTTTGGCAATGCTCTCAGGCATGGAGTGGGATTGTTGTGGTGTCTGGGCAGGGCAGGAGCTGGACTGGCTGATCCTTAGGGATTCCTTCCAGCTCGGGATATTCTGCGATCTCGTGGAACAAGGTGAGTGCCTCCAGCTCTCATAGAACATCGTGGGATGTGCAGGAGAGTGTTTTAGGCTGGAGGGGGGATTGTGCAGCAGACAGAAATGTCCTTTATCTATCCCAGAGCTCTGTCCTGCTGGGGTTTGCCCGCTCCTCGCCCAGCCCGCTCCTGCCCTCCTGTGGCCAGCTCCGTAATTCCACAGAATCCGAAAATCCTGGAGTGGTTGGCATTGGAAGGCACGTCAAAGCCTGTTCAGTGCCACTCCCTGTCATGGGCCCTGACACCTTCACTATCCCAGGTTGCTCCAAACCTTGTCCAGCCTGACCTTGGACACTTCCAGGGATCCAGGGGCAGCCACAGCTTCTCTGGGCACCCTGTGCCAGGGCCTCACCCTCACAGGAAAGGATTTCTTCCCAATGTCCCATCTAGCCCTGCTCCCCTTCAGTATTTCACAGAACCATGGAATAGCTTTGGGTGGGAAGGGACCTCTGAAGGTCATATTGATTATTTGCGGTCCTGTAAATGATTCCTGTAATTTCCTTCCCTGTTTAATTTCTCTGCTCCCACAGGACTTTGCCTTCCCTCCACACAATATTTCTGGAGCTTGCTGCCATGCAAAATCTTTCCAGAAAGCTGGAGCTCCCTGCCTGCCATCCGGGATCAGCATGGCACATTCCGGATGAGGAGCCTGACCAAGGTAATTTGGGAAGGGCTGAGGAATTTTAGAATTCTTCAAATCCAAGGGCACAGGGGCCACCCTACAAGCACCCTTACGCAGACCCTCCGGGTGGGAACAAAACACATTTTATTTCGCCAGCAAAACGCACAATATTTCACAAATATTGAACATCTCGTCGCACAAAGACACGGGAATCGGGGATGGGGTACCCAACGTGGGGCACTCGAGAGCCGCAAGGCAGCCTGGCAAAGGGCACTTTTGTGGAGACATTTTGTTCAATTATCGCTCTTCGGCCGCCCTGAGGGCCCCCGCCCTGAGGGGGCTCGCGCTCCCGCCCAGGGGGGCTCGCGCTGCTCCTCACGGCGCCGGCCGGCGGTCGCGCGGCGGGAAGGTGGGTGGGTGTGTGTGTGTGTGTGTGTGTGGGTGTGTGTGTGGGTGTGGGTGTGGGTGTGGGTGTGGGTGTGTGTGTGTGTACCGGAGGCCGCGCGGTTGCCACGGCAACGGGGGGGGGGACGCCACCGCCCCGCCCGGCCCCGCCCTCCCCGGGCCCGGCCGCCCCGCGCACGCGCCGACGCCGGGTGGCGCGCGCACGCCGCGTCACGCCCCCCGCCCCGCCCGCCCCTCCCGCCGCGGTCCCGGCCCCGCGTCCCCCCAGGCGCGTCCCCCGCCCACCCCCGGTGCGCCCCCGCCGCCGGTTCCCCACCACCCCTCCCGCCGCCATGAGGCGCGGCGAGCGGCGGGCGCACGGCGGGAACGTGGGCAAGGCCGCGCTGGAGGAGCAGCCGGCGCCGCCGCCGCCCCCCGCGCAACCCAACGGCGGCGCCCCCGGGGCCGAGCGGGACGGCGCCGGACCCCGCCGCAGCACCGAGTCCGAGGTGTACGACGACGGCACCAACACGTTCTTCTGGTGAGAGGCGCCGGGCGTGGCCCCCATCCGTTACCTGCGGGGCTCCGCGTGGGCCGGGGGCGTCCCTAAGGAATGGGATGTAGAGGGGCTGGGGAATGGGATGTGGGGGTCCCTAAGGAATGGGATATGGAGGGCGCCCCAAGGAATGGGGTACCCGAGTTATCTGCTCCCCGTTATCTGCTATTCACGTGTGTCTTCTGTCACCGATACCTGTGGCGGAATCCGTTGCAAGTGTTTCCCTGGTGTGGCTCTACTGCTAATTGTTTCCTGGCAATGTATCGGGAATTCAGGTCTGGCTTCTGGCGCTGGCACCTCTTTTCCCAGTTCTGGTCCCCACTTTTCCAGGAGCAGGACCCTTAGGGCTGGGCTCGGCGGCTTGTTCTGCCTGGTGGGTGCTTTGGGGGTGTTTTCCAATATCTTGGGAGCCCACGGTGTTCGGGCAAGCATTCCTGCCTCATTCCAGTTATCGGCATGCTTTATATGGACTCCACCTCCTTCTGTCCTCTCCCTTAATCTTGGAAGAGGCTTTTTCCTCTTTTCCTCCCAGTGATCCTGGCAGAAAGCTGAAATTGTTGTGCCCCACTGCTGCTGGGCAGGTGTTGAATATTTTTGAGTGTCTCAGTCCATAAAACGGAGCAGGAACCCATGTCTGCTGGTGTTGGGCCAGCGGAGAAAATCAGCTTTTTCTTAAATCCAGTCCTTGCAGGAAGAGGTGTGTTCGCACCTGGAAAAGTGTTCCATAAATCCCCTCAGCAGCAGGCATGTGTGTAGGCAGAGGTGTTTTTCCATGGGTTAAACACGCGTCCCTTTCCATGAAGAAAACCAAGCCGACACTGAAGACTCGCGTTTGGAATCCGAGCCGAGGGCGATGGGATTTGGCTGGAGCCTGGCATGGAGGAGTGTGAGGGGAGGGCACTTGGCTCTCACCCTGCCAATCTGGGCAGCAGCGGAGCCGAGGGTGTTGATCCCGATGAAGGAGGTGACATTCCTGCCAGTGCAAGCTGCGGAGGAACACTGGGATGCTGCTGGATCCCTGGCACAGTGCGGGTGTAGCCGAGGGACACTGTGGTCTCGGGGACAAAAGGACCTTTCCTGGCGGGCACACCACGTGCAGGCTGAGCTAATCGCGGGATCCCGGTTTTAAATGGAAAATGGGTAAAGCTGTCCTTTCCTTACTCCCTCGCTAAGGTGGCTCTTGCCAGCTGTTTTGTGAGGCCTTAAAACACCTGTTTTTGCTGTAGAATCTTGCCTCATTGCAGCTTTTGGTGGCGGTGACCTGGCTGTCACCCCAGAATAAATGCTGAAGTGCAGTTAGTGTGGCCATGTGGATTGTTCCTTTGGAAATCTGGATGTGCCTTTTTCTCTCAGGAGTTTCACTGTGTCAAGTGGTCCCTTCCAGGAGGGCATCATGGACAAGTGTGTTTCTTAACTTCCCTATTTTTCTTTTTCTTTTTTTTTTCTAATTTTCTTTTCCATAGTAGCTTGTACTGGCAACCAGGAGTTTAACCATCTGGAAAAGTCCCAGTGTTTTTCCTCGTGTTACTTTTGCCCTGTATGTGTTAGAGTATCCTTTGGCAATGACTCAGTTCCTACTGTGTCCAAGAATAAAGATTATCCAGAGGAATGATTTTCTTCCTGTGACCCTTGGGACTTCTCTCATGCTGTGGCGGTGGCCACAGGAAAGGGAAATTTTTAAGAGTGGCTGCCCTATGATTTTGGAAAAACACAGAATGCCCCTTCTCTTTGGAGTTCAGGAATTAGGGATACGGTTACTCTTCTTGCTTGCTCCTTTTGGGAAAATGAGAGGATTTGGGATCTGTGGACACACAAATCATTCTAGGAGTAGTTTAATTTGCAGAGGTGATTTTCCTGCTATAAATGTGGTCCTTGGGAAAGGTGGAGCTTCCTAGCTGGCTTCCTCCTCTTTAAAATCTGTTTGGAAATTTGG